TAAGCGAGGCTTGATTTGTCGAAATTCAGAAGCTACGCATACAATTCTCTTAAAGAAACATTTTTGAAGCTCTACGATCTTTCCTATGGCCTTTTCCAGCAAAAAAAAAGGTGCGCAAATGTCCAAGTGCGCAAAAAAAGATCGCATTTGTCCCACCGCCGACAATAACGACAATAGTGAAACAATAACAATTGTATTGTACGCTCAAAATATCGTTGTCATTGCATAGTTATACTCGATCTTGTCAAAACTTTCTTATAAAAGCTTCTAGATGTTTTAAATGTTGATATCTAATTGCAAGTTGATCTAAAAGTATCTCTAGTCGGCGGTGGGACAAATGCAATCTTTTTTTGCGCACTTGGACTTTTGCGCACCTTTTTTTTGCTGGAAAAGGCCATAGGAAAGATCGTAGAGCTTCAAAAGTATTTCTTTAAGAGAATTGTATGCGCAGCTTCTGAATTTCGACAAATCAAGCCTCGCTTACACGTCAAATTTGGGCTAAATTTGGGCTTTTGCGCACTTTGAAACTTTGAAAATAAGCAAATAAGTTCTTTTTTTTTTTAGTTTATAGTATAGTTTATTTTTAGTTTTAGTTCGTCTAAACTCTAGAAATTCTCTTTGAATTTTCTCCTTAACATTAGTTATGCCAGCAGAACTTGAACTTGAAATATATTTACAGTATTATTCTTTAATCACTCTGTCAGATCATTTGTTCTTGTTACAAGTTACATTTATTATTTTCCCAGTTAAAGACCAAAAATCAGCATGTTTTTCCTTTCAAAAATCTTTAGCTTCAGATGGATTTTGAGAGGGATGAAGAGAAAGGGAAAGAAAGGGAAAGAAGGGGAAAGAAAGGGAAAAGGAGATGGTGAAGACCTTCTATTGTGTTCTACAATGAGAAATGCAATACATTGAGAAGGGGAGGAGTGGTAGAGAGTGTTTGGAAGAGATGGGTACCTTTTCTTTTCTTTTTTTTTTCGGTGCTTACGTAGAAATCTTCACCCAATGACTGTTTATTACTTATGGCTTTTACCCTAATCACTTTTGATATGAAATCACTTTAACAATCACTTTAACAATCCCTAATCACTTTAACAAAATCACGAAAATTCGCACCCACCGATCGCACTAATGACGATGATTTTTGTGTCAACTTAAATTTCTAAAGTTTTTATTATTTATTTTACTTTTCTCGGTACTTTTTACTAGTTTTCTACTAATTTAGAGCTATCGAATGATTAAAATAGTTTAGTTTATCGTTGAACGAAGTTAGTGAAACAATAACAATTGTATTGTACGCTCATTGTCATTGTCATTGCATAGCTAAAATCGATCTTGTCAAAACTTTCTGATAAAAGCTTATAGATGTTTTAAATGTTGATATCTAATTGCAAGTTGATCTAAAAGTATCTCTAGTCGGCGGTGGGACAAATGCTATCTTTTTTTGCGCACCTGAACATTTGCGCACCTTTTTTTTGCTGGAAAAGGCCATAGGAAAGATCGTAGAGCTTCAAAAATGTTTCTTTAAGAGAATTGTATGCGTAGCTTCTGAATTTCGACAAATCAAGCCTCGCTTACACGTCAAATTTGGGCTAAAAGGCAAAAATTACGCAACTTCACGCTTTTCCGCAGTTTTGTTTGCGGAAGAGCGTTAAGTTGCCTAGTTTTTGCCTTTTAGTTCAAATTTAACATGTGCGCAAGGTGCGCAAATGTCCAGGTGCGCAAAAAAAATGGCATTTGTCCCACCGCCGACTAGAGATACTTTTAGATCAACTTGCAACTAGATATCAACATTTAAAACATCTATAAGCTTCTATAAGAAAGTTTTGACAAGATCTCTTTGCCGTAAGTAATTGGCTTATTGATTTCAGTATGTATTGTATGATTAAGTATCACTGTGCATTTCTCTATGATTTCTTTCACTTTATCGTTTGAATAAAGTATTATTATATCCCGGTCTGGTCGCTGAAGTTTTTTGCGAAAGTTGACTTAAACTTTGCAGAATGAAATTTTTTCCAAAGACTTCTGTTACCATTTGATAGAACTGAGTTTTAAACCGCGGTCAGGGCCCAGAAGTGGCTCATTCCTTTTGCAAATTCCCTTTGCTTCCAATGCCTCTTTATCAAATTCATTTCCCGTTAGAGCCGCTAGATTATGGAACTTGCTCCCAAACGACATACGAGAAATTCAGTCGCTTTTCATATTCAAGAAACGTATCGATGCTTTAGATCTAGTGGCTCTTTGCCGTAAGTAATTGGCTTATTGATTTCAGTATGTATTGTATGATTAAGTATCACTGTGCATTTCTCTATCATTTCTTTCACTTTATCGTTTGAATAAAGTATTATTATTATTTATTTAAGATCAACGATTTTGTCTCACCCTTTTCTATTCAACTCTTCATTTCTCTTTTTTTAATTCTTTTTCAGCTATCGTTGGCTTTAATGCAATAATTCATATTGAAATTTTGTTAATTTTTGAAATAATTATAGCTGACTCGATTTCCCGTAAGATTTTCGTGTAGTCCAAGCAGACAGAAAACAACAATTTCTGAGGATTTTTGTAACCATTTTTTTCACGATCTTTTCCCCACTTTTCATGGGCTTCTTTGTGTTGCGTGAATCAGAAAAAAAAAAAGAGCAAATTTTTAATCCCAACTTTTCCGTCATCGATTTTTCTTTATTCGGAAAGATTTTCACTCACTTGTTTTTTTCTTTGTTTATACGGAAAAAGTTCGTCTAAACTCTAGAAATTCTCTTTGAATTTGGTCCTTAACATTAGCTATCCCAGCAGAACTTGAACTTGAAATATATTTACAGTATTATTCTCTAATCACTCACTTGTGTAATCAAGTAATTCTAAGTAGTAATTCTTGAGGAAATTTTTGTTTGTCTTTTTTTGTTCGTCTTTTTTTGTTTTTCTTCTTGAGTTGATCTTCTTGATTCATTTGAGCTCATCTTTGATCGAGAGTTTGATTTTCATGTTCAACTTTTCGGGGTGAGACAAATGCGACCTTTTTTTGCGCACCTGGACATTTGCGCACCTTTTTTTTTTGCTGGAAAAGGCCATAGGAAAGGTCGTAGAGCTTCAAAAACGTTTTCATAGAAGGGAATCGTATGCGTAGATTCCGAATTTCGACAAATCAGACCTCGCTGACACGTCAAATTTGGGCTAAAAGGCAAAAACTACGCAACTTAACGCTTTTTCGCAGTTTTTGCCTTTTAGCCCAAATTTGGCGTGTCAGCGAGGTCTGATTTGTCGAAATTCGGAATCTACGCATACGATTCCCTTCTATGAAAACGTTTTTGAAGCTCTACGGCCTGGCCTAAGGCCTTTTCCAGCAAAAAAAAGGTCGCATTTGTCCCACCCCCCAACTTTTCATGTTCAACTTTTCATGTTCAACTCTTCTTGTTCAACTTTTCATGTTGACGTTCACTCCTCTGCTCTCTTCTACCAATTTGATTTCCCCTTTTGTTTCCATAAATCTTCTCGATTTTCCATTTACAGATCTCCTTCTCCGCATTTTTTTCCCTTTAAATGTCATTTTCTTCTCAAATCGACGTTGGATCACAAATGCTTCGTTCAAATGGACGACTCGCTGCTTTTCGTAATGTTTTTTTTCTTCAAAAAAACTTGTTCTTTGTGGTGTTGAATTTCTTTTCGAAACACATCCTTTCTAGTGCACTCAATTCTTCTACAGATTTGCTTTTTGTAGATTTGCTATGAGTATCAAATAGAAATCACAGAAATCACAGAAAAACTAAAGTTACTGTAGCTTTTGATACATAACTTCGGACTTATTGTAGACACTTTAGGATACTGTAGCTTTAGCTACAAGCTACAGCTTTAGCTACAAGCCTTTGGGTAGTTTCTGTACACCAGAAGGGATGCGTTTACTTCTTTGCGTTCAAAGCACACTTTCTGAATCGATCGATATGAAAAAAAAGCATCGATGATAAACTGGCGAAAAATTGACTTTTCGACGGGACAAATTCGACTTTTCAATGGCTTTTTCTTATGAAATTTGTGCACTGATGTGCACCAATAGCCCATTGTGCACCAATAGCCCAATGGCTCAATAGCAATAGCTCATTGTGCACCAATAGCCCAATGGCTCAATAGCAATAGCTCATTGTGCACCAATAGCCCAATAGCTCGATAGCAATAGCTCATTGTGCACCAATAGCCCAATAGCTCAATAGCAATGGCTCATTGTGCACCAATAGCCCAATAGCTCAATAGCAATGGCTCATTGTGCACCAATAGCCCAATAGCTCAATAGCAATAGCTCATTTTTTTCGATAAACTTTTCAATTACTGTTTCTTTATTGTTTTCTTTATTGTTTTTGGAATAACTCTCTGCCCTATAATACCGTTGACTTTTCAAGGAAATTTCACTTTCAACCTCATTCACCAACTTCATTTGCTCGTTTTTGCCGTGTTTTCTCTTTTAAATTCTTCAAAAAATGGAAACCCTTTTTGAAATGACTAAACAAATTGTGATCAATTTCAAAACTACCAATTGCTTTGATGATTGCAAATGGTTATTTTAGGCTCTTTTTCTTTGCACTTGAAAGCATTTGAAAACAAGGTTTTTTTTTGATGAAAAAACTTAATTATTGATTTCAAAAAGATTTCCACGAAAATTACAGCGCTTTCCTCGTTTGAATTGAAATTTGTTTTTGTTTTTTGGATGGAAATTTTCAAATTTAAATCGTTTTATATTTTTGGATGGAAATTTTCAAATTTAAAGCATTAGGGATTTGATGGAACGCAAGAAACAAGGGAAATGTGTACTTTAAACTCTATTAAACGCACAACGTTTGGCACTTTGTTGAAAATTGAAAGAAAAACCAAAGATTCAGTGTGTTAGAAATCCGAAAATCTCGAATTCCTCCAATCCTTTTTACCATTTTTTGCTGAAGACGTGAAGATTTCAGTTTTTAAAATGTGCTGTGTTTAGAGTTAAAATGAGATTTAATTATTTCAAATGAGTTCAGGTCGATCAACGATGAGAGTTTCCCGTAATGCGCGAACAGCTGTTTCAATGGATGAAACGCCGATCGATCGATCGTCGAGAAAAGTCTCCGCTGATGCTGTTTCAAGGAAAACTTCGTTCGTAAACGCTAAAATGGTCAGTTTTATTAAATGACTTCATTTATTGTCAATATTTTGCTTTTATTCTGCATCGTTGGATCAAAAGATCAAAATCAAAAAGGCAGATCAAAAGTTTTGCCCCGACGGGACTCGAACCCTCGACCTTTCACTTTCCGGGCAACCGTGCTAACCGTTACACCACAACAGAGGTGGTCCCTCTTACTTCCAAGGGAGTTAAGTTTCCCCCTCTCTGGACGAGATGGTTCCATTTATTTATATTTTATATTTATAAGTGCGCTCGAAACTAGTTATGAAGACCTTAGCCAGCATTGCAGAGACCATCCTTCCGTGGTCGCCAGTTTGAACTAGGGACAGATCAAAATTATGCGCCACCGGGACTCAAACTCGCGACCTTTCGCTTCCCGCTTCCCAGCCAAATGTGTTAACCATTACACCACAACGCACTTGATCTCCTTAGCTATTAGTCAAGTTTTTTTGGTTAAGTAGAAAACTTTTTACAAACGTTTTAAGGCATTTCTTTTACCCTAAACTTTGGGGACTCAAAAAAATTTCCTACCCAACTAAATAAGGTAATTTTCGAAATTTATCATAAAATATATGTATTATAAACATTTTTTATGTTCACAACTTTTTGATTGAATTCCCGGAAATACCCACATTCGTAAATGGTTTGCATTTCGTAAACGACAACGACAAATATATTGGAAAATTTGAAAAGAAGAAAAATCCCTATTCCAATATCAAAATACGCCTATTCAAAAAAGGTTTCCTTTTCTCAAAAAAAGAAAAAGCTCGCCTAATAATCTAATCGACTAGTTTTTAAGCTAAAAGCCTACTTTCATCATATTCAAAATTCATGCACAGATTACGGTAGCCTTGAATTTTCTAGTCACTTTCTAGAAAATATACTTAATTAGCGAAATAAAAGAGTTGAAAACATTAAAAAATTCAAAAGTTTAAAGCTCAACTTGATCACTTTTTTCGGGGTCTAAGGGGTTCGGGGCCAAGATTTATCATTTATATTAAATCATTTCTCACATAAAATGATAGAGAAAAAGAAAGCCAGAAGAAACAAAAAAAAAATAAGCAATCACAGAAAGGATTTTCAGAAGAAAAGCAAAGGAAAAAGAAAAAGAACCCGTTTTTTTGAGAGAAAGGTGTATAAAATAGTATAAAATTGGGGAGTGGGACAAATGCGACCTTTTTTTGCGCACCCGGACATTTGCGCACCTTTTTTTCCGCACCTTGCCCATTAGCGCACCTTTTTTCGCGTTTTAAAAAAGCTCTTAAAAAGCTAATATAGCTAATAACCAATTTCTATTCCAAAAGTTGTTTTTCTAGGTAATTTGAGGGTGTCGAATTCAAATTTTGACATAACAGAGCGTGTGGAACCAATTTGAAAGACAAAACGGCTAGGTCAAATTACAGAAAATTGTTGATTTTTCTCTTTGTATAACTCCGTCCGTTTGTTTCCACAAGCTCTGATATGCCAAAATTTCGATTCTACGCCCTAAAAACCTAGAAAAAGAACTTTTGGAATAGAAATTGGTTAATATTAGCTTTTTAAAGCTTTTTTACGCTTTAGAGCTTTAAAACGCGAAAAAAGGTGCGCTAATGGGCAAGGTGCGGAAAAAAAGGTGCGCAAATGTCCGGGTGCGCAAAAAAAAGGTCGCATTTGTCCCGCTCCCCTTTTTTCCTAAATTTTTATCAAAAAAACAACTGTTTCATTCTCCAAAAAGCCTTTTTTTAAATCAATTTTTTTCCCCATTCGAAAATTTGAAAATCTTTTTGTAAAACAGATATAAAACAGATTTTTTTTCGATATAATTTCCTGGGAATTTGCACCTTTTTTTTTTTGTTCTAAAGTTCACAACCGAAAAATTATTGAAAATTAGAAAAAATTTTCCTCAAATTTCCCATGAGAGTTTGTTGTGGTTGAATTAGAGACGAAAAAGATAGCAATTTGTGTATTTTCTCTTTTTGGGACTTTCTTTTTGGGACTTTCTTTTTGGGACTTTCTTTTTGGGACTTTCTCTTTGGGACTTTCTTTTTCGATTTCAATTAACTCCCTAAAGACTCGGATGAAAGCGAATGGAAGAGCTATCTTTTCTTTTTTACGGTTTTTTTTCTTTGAAATTGAAATTTACTTTTTACTCAAACTTTCCTTTCGATATGAACTCTCTAATCTCTCTAAGGAATTCATTAAAATAATGAAATAAGTAATGAAATAAACTTTTCTCAAAGCTTTTCTCAAAACTTTATTTTCAATTTTGACTCCAAAAATAGATTACTGATTTTTCTGAAAGGATTTCAAAGGTTTCAAGGGTTTAAAAAAAAAGCAAAAACGTTTCCAAACTTTCTACTTTCCAAACTTTCCAAACTTTCCAAATCAAACGTCAGAAAATGGAAATTCTTTTTTTTTTTAATCATCGACTTCAGTCAAAACTCTGACCTTAAAAAGAAAGAAAAAAACAACGGGAAAAGTTAGTGGAAAAAAAAGATAGCAATTAGTTTGTGAAACCAGTTGTGGAAAAGAAATTGTGGAAAAGAAATTGAGAAAAAGAAAATAAGGAATTTGTAGTAAAATGGAAAAGAAAAAAAAAAGAGAACGAGAATCGTGAAGGGACGTAAATAAGAGAATTTTCAATCAAAGAAGAAAATCGTTTTGAAATGACGTCATGAGGAATATTCGTTTTGAGGAAAAAAAAAAAACAAAATCGAAATAGATCGGATGAAAATGGGTAAAAATAGCATAAGAATAGCATAAAAATAGCATAAAAAATAGCATAATTTGTCAAAAATTGTCAAAAGCAAAAACCGTAAAAGAAAGCACAAAAAGACTTTATGAACATATTGATTATATATATAGATACTTTATTCAGGACCTGAGATAAAGTGCGCTAGATTTAAGATTAAAACACATGAATTCATACACATAACACGAAAAGGGCCGATAAAAAGAAACCCCGATATAATATATGTAAATGTGGGTAGCACAGATAACGTCAAGGATCCACTAGAGCTTCAAGATCATCAAGAATATATGGGCAGCACAGATAACGTCAAGGATCCACTAGAGCTTCAAGATCAAGATCATCTACAGATAATTTAAAGGTTTCGAGACTATTGAACTCTCTCAAAACTCTGGGGAGTCGATTCCAAATTCTGGCAGTTCTTATTGGAAAAGAGTTATAAACAAACTTATTGGAGGTGACTGAAATTTCTAAAACGAAAGAACCTCTCCTTGAACTAATTGGTTCCTTGATTGGTCTTTTTTTTCGTGTTTTATTTTAAATTTCAAACTTTTAACGATACTGTATCACTTTTACAGTTAGAATAAATCTAAATCTAAATCTTTTATCAATAAATCACCATTTCCCCTTGAGCTTACTTTGAGTCTTTACGGTTAACGCGCGAGCGGTAGCGTTTATCGGCGAGGATCAATTTTTTTAAAGCCCATTTTTAAGCACCCTTTAACTTGTCAGATTAGGAAATTTGTATAAGATTTAGATTGCTTCTACGTCTAGATAGAACGTCAACTTTCAGAAACGATTTATGTCATCAAAAGTTATTAACAAAAACCTATCTAAAATCGGGCTGTAAGTTGGTCAAAAGCTTGACCCCCACCGATAATCGCTACTCCCCAGTCGTTAACCGTTAGATCCCCTGCTTTCGAAAATTGATTTGCAAATTGATTGATTTATAATGGGAAATTTGCCAATTGATTGATTTGTAATGGGAAATTTGCAAATTGATTGATTTGTAATACCTTTTTCTAAGCTTTTTATCAAGATCTCTTGATTTAAAGCTTAAAGATTTAAAGCTACAAAAGCTTTAAAATCTAAACGAAATCATTTCACTTTTAGAAAAACTCTAATCAAGGGTACAGTTCAACCATTTTGTTCATTTCTTTTCTTGGTTCTGTACCATTTTTCCCTTTCTTCACCCATCAAACAGACTTCTGGAGCCTTTTCCTAAGAGAGATGGGTAAACAACCCCCTTCACACCCTGAAGGCAGCTCAAAGAATGAAAGAGAACGGGATAAGGGAAGAGAATTGTTGTTGAAGACCTTCCCTTTTCATCTATAACTTTTCTCGTCTTCGGCTCTCTCTCAAGAACCTCTCCTCCATTTCCCTCTTTTCCCTCTTTTCCCTCTTCCTTTTTCTTTTCACGTGTTCCCCTCTGACCCCTCCCCTTTTCACATTCTTCCACTCCTCCAATCTGAAGAAGTACCCCTTTCTCTTCTACATTCCAATTAGTACTTCTTTCAAGATTCTACGCCAACCTGTCTTTGTTAACAACTACTACCCTTCTACTGAATTATTCAAATTTCTTCTCCAGATTATTTTCTGAAACCTGATCTAAAGCCGATTTCCCCCAAATTGGCTCACTTATACAAAAGTTTATTTAATATTTTTACGCTATCCCTTCTGATTGAGATTAGCTAAATCTCAGAAACATTTGCAATTTGCAAGAAACGTACTCTGACTCAGCATTTCTATTTTTTTGTTTTTTGTTTTGGATTCGAGATCAAAATCAGAGCATTGTTTGAGATCAAAAACTGTGAACCGATTGTTCTCGCTTCCTGGATTAAGTTAAAAGGATTCTTTTCAAATCTTTGATGGATAAAAGATCTATGAGCATCCGCCGATAAATCCACTCGATTCATTTCTTCTTCTTCTTCATCATCATTCCTCATTTCTCTTGTGAAAATGTTGAAGTGTCCCGATGTGACGTGTCCCTCGGCGCATCGTCATTCTTTACCCCAAAATGCTCTTTTACCCGATATTCTCATCCGGAAAAGTATCGTTTTGCGGAAAACCGCATCCGCATTGCATATACAGGTAGAATAATTGGGCAACTGTCGTAAATACTCTAAAAAAAACCCCAACGCGATAGTGATGAGTCGCTTTGTCTAACTTTAAACATCCCGTTCTCTGCGCTGCTGTAAGCTACAATGTGCTACATGGTGTCAAATGATAGCCCTTGATATCTAGTATTTTTTGGTACCAAAAGTTTAGTAGGGAAGAATTTAGGAACTGAGAAAAAATGATTTTTTTAAAAAAAAGTTAGACTAGGCAATGTTGCTGGGGATTTAGGATATAAAAAGCGAAAGAAATCCTACAAATACAAGCTTTTAACTGACAAATCGGATAGCTCATCTGGAAAATGATCGAAAAGCTTTCCTGATTCCAGCTTCAGATTCCAACTTTCTTGAATCAATCGAAAATTTCAGCTAGCCAAATCTCGTCAAGCGTCGGAATGCAGTCGATCGAATGGATCCGAAGAGGTGCTCGATTCGACGAGAAGTCGAGATTCTTCACATAGGTTTGTACAATATGAAAGAATTTCTAATATTTGAGAGTTTTGTAGCTACAGTAAGGCTCACTGTAACTATAATGTATTCATTTCCATCAGATTCTATCTTTCCGTGAGCTTTTCCCCATGAATCCCGCTTGATTATCAAATAAAAAGCTTTCAAACAAACAAACAAACAACAAACAAACAAACAACAAACAATAAATAAAACAAATTAGCTTTTGTCCTTTTTTTTGCATTCATTCATTTCGTTGAGCAGCTAAATAAGAAAAGTACATTTTTTTTTGAGCAAAGTTCTGATGAAAAATTGTTACTGAATGTGAGAAGCTGTCAAAAACGTGTGCAACACAAATAGCATAAAAAAATTCTTTATTTTATATCTTTCATATCTTTCAAGAATTATTTCCAGAGATCTTACTCATTTGGATGAGCCGGGTTGTTCGGAGAATCTTCAAATAATCGACGATGGAAATGCGACACGAAGAAATCGATCGGTCACCTCATCAAGGATTTCGCTTTTCTTCGGAAAAGTTCGTTTCAATTCTAGATTTTTTTTTTTTGATTCTTTTCACTAATCCAATAATTTCACTCCTTTTTACTCTTCTCAAAGATGTTCCCTTGCGATCTTTTTGATCTTTTTGATCTTCCCCAGCGATCTTTTTGAAAAAAAATCAAGAAAACTTCTAATAGTGAACTTCTAAAAGAAAAAGAAAGTCAAGTTTGACGAATTTTTTTATTTATTTTTCAATTTCAACAGAATTTCTCAAATTTTCACTCTTGATCTTGATCGTTTTCCTTCATCATCAGGATCTGATGTAAAAAAAGGAAAGAACGAGCTGTTATTTGAAAAAAAAGATGTCCTCTAACCATATTATGTAAATCTGAAGAGTGGATATAAAAAGAAAAGAGGAGAACCCAAGGACAGGAGAAGAGAATGACTGGGATCCCTTCAGTCCTCTCCTCCATCTCCTCTTCATCATCTCCATCATCATCAGGATCATTCCATTTCACTCATCTCTTACCCAGTTCTTTTCATTCATTCATTCATTCATTCATTCAGTCATTCATTCGCTTTTCTATTCTACTTCTTTTCAACTTATCCATTCTGAATAGCTCAATCTGAAACAATCAAATGACCGACGAGAAATCCCTTTTTATGTGCCTTCTTGCCTTCTGGTTTGTCAGATTTAGACGAAATCATTCGCTTATATAAACAAAATTTTCAGTTTAAGAATTCAGAACTATTCAGAAATTCAGAAAAAAATTCAGAATTGATTTTTAAGTTGGAATTTGTCCTTTAAGGAGAATAGGTTAAAACTGAAAATTGTTTCGAATGAAAAACTGTCGTGAGAACGTCTCCTCAACTCGCTTTTCAACCTCTTCTCACCATCTTTCTCTTTCTGTTTTCTATTCATAAGCGGGAACACGACGAAACATTTGTTCTCAAGCATTTCTCAAGAATCCCCCCGATCAGCCATACGGTAAACGTTCGTCTCTTTGTGAGTGGAAAGAGAAGAAAAAGAAAAACAGGAACTTGTGATTTCTTTTTCTTTTTTTCACAAAGAGTGTTACTAAATAGATGGTCATCCCCGTAGCACTTGGGTAAGTTGAAGAAGTAGAAGAGAAGTTGGCAAGTTTAAGGGGCAAGTTGAAAAATGGTTTACGATAATACTTGGCTTATCGAGATCTGAATCTAGCATCTAATTCAATCAGTTTTGAGTCGATACTGGACCAACTGAATGTTTCAACCAAGCTAGTCTTCAGGTCAAGCTTAGCCAGACCAAAGGCAGCCTCTTGTACTGAACCAACTGGACCTTTCAACGAAGCTAGGGGCTTCAAGTCAACTTGGCTAGACCAAAGCCAAAGCCAAAGCCAAAGCCAAAGCCAAAGCCAAAACCAAAGCCAAAGCCAAGCTGGCTTTTTGCTTTACTTTTTATAAAGTTCAAAGCTTCTTTTTCTCATGCAATCACTTCTTGAAACATTCTGATTCACAAAAACTTGCATTTATTTTTAAAATAAACCCAACCATGATGTCATTGATATTAAATGAAAAAAAGCAGATTGTTAAACCTTTCTAAACTACAGACAATCCAAGTTAATGTTCTTCTTCCAATCATTTTTTTTGTAGTTGTTCTACAATCAGTGATTTCTCTGAATTTTCCCCTTTTTCTCTTTCTTTCCATTCACACTCTTATCTATTAAATTTTTTTTTTTGAGCTAAAAACGAACTATTGATAGTTCTACATGAAATTTTCTGATTTAAGAGAAGAATTTTTGTTCCCTTTTCCTCCCGTCATTCATACTCTCATGTCAAAAAGATAAGACACAGCTCTTCTACGATTCACTCATCGATTTCAGCTTTCATTTCTTTGCCACTGCTTCTTCTGTTAGCTAATTTCAATTTCCTTTTACATTTTGCTCAGAGCTTTCAAAGCTCTAAATTTATTCTCTAAAAATTTTGCGTCGTCGCTCAGCTCGCCGATTGAAATTCAATCATGAAGTGGAAATCACTTCCACTTTGGGCATACGATCCCCAACATGGGTAGAGTTTTGATAGAAAATTGAATTTTAAAACACTTACACAAAACAAAGCTTTCAAGAGAACAAGCTAATGCCAGAGTTTGTGCGTTTGTCGGCGCACAAAGTACGACTTCAGCAAACCCATCTTGAACTTTTCTCAGAAACTTTCTTTATCTTAATGTTACGAAAAAGTTGCAAGCTATTGTGGAAGCTATTTTTTTTACAACTCTTTTGCAATTTTCATGACTCATTTTCTGCAAATGACCTCTTTTCCTTATCAGTTTTTTTCCCTTTTCCCCTCCGATTACAAATGCTAAATTTTTCTTGTGTTAAGTCAGAAAAATTTGAAATCCGAAAATCTCTTAAATGGAAAAATCGGAAAAATCGGAAAAATCGATAAAATTCAATAAATTTAGGAAAAAACGGAAATGCTGAATCGTTTAAACGCTTTTCGTGATGCACGACAGAGGCAATCGACGAAATTGGAGATTGAGGACTCGTGGCGAGCAATTGTTGATCCGATTTTGGTAAGGATTTATTTCTTTTTCTTGTATAGCCATATTCTTTTAAGTATTCGAATTTGTGAATTTACTTTTTTACAAGTTTTCAATCTAATTTCTTTAAATGTTTAGATGCAAAATCTTTCTCGAAAAGCAGCCGATCAACAGGAGGCAATTTGGGAAATCGTCAACACGGAATACAACTATATAAGCGTTCGTTTTCATTTTTGATCTTCTAATTTGAGAAATCTTTTAATCTGAAAAATTTCCTTTTTAAGAACCCAAATTTTCTCATATTTACTTCCAATAAGAAAAGTGTTTTGCGCAAATTTTGCACAACTCATCTTTCCATTCAAATATCTAAGTTTTCAATGATTTTTTTTTTCTGCTCTTTCCTTGGTCTCTATTTGGCGATGATAAAATATTTACGTATTTGGGGAAAAATTGAGGCAATTGAATACCCAGCTATTGAATGCGAAATTAATTTTTTGTCAAAAAAAAAATTGAAAAGAGAAGCTAATTTGTTTGAAATTGAGATGAGAGAACGGTGAAAATGGTGAAATTTTTGGGGAAAAATAATATAGATACTTTTGAAGAGAAATGATGAGGAAAGTATGATAATAATGTTTTTTTGTTTGTTCAGTTATTGCGAACGATGGACGAATTGTCGTGCTGTTTGACGGATGTGCAGAGATACAATTTCTTGAAAGATGTCGATTCGAATCGGGTTTTCATCAACTATTCGGCGCTCTTCCAAGCGAATGTCAACTTCTGGAATCGAGCAATTCATCCAATGCTTTCAGAAGCACGGTAGGAGAATTGGAATTGTGATAAACTACTTTAGGGGGTAGCCTACTTTGCGCCAAATTTTTTGCGCAACGGGGTCATTTGCGCAACAGGGTCGTTTGCGCAACTCACCATAACTTTCTTCTAAGTCGGCCAATCTTTATGATTTTGGTTTCATTTTGTTGCACTTATTGAGATCTACAAAATGACACCAAAATCATAAAGATTGGTCCACTTCGAAAAAAGTTGTGGCGAGTTGCGCAAACGACCCAGTTGCTCAAATGACCCAGTTGCGCAAAAAGTTTGGCGCAAAGTAGCCTACCCCCTACTTTAGTTCTTGCAATTCGACATCTTTTAGATAAATAAGAGTAATCAGACAAAAACAAGTTTTTAAAGCGATAACTAAGATACTTAATAACTATAAAAATCTGATTTTAAAGCAACAAATCATTGAAATTTTTAGAAAAAAGCATTGCCCACTCGATCCAACTTTTCTCTTCGCTGGTTTTGATGATATTCATGAATGGTCTCGTTGTTATATCAATTTTCATCTTCATCATGATGAAGCTCACGCTTATGTAAGCAAGAAAGCGAAAGAACACGAGTTGTTCAGGGAATTTTTGACGGTAAGTGCTTTTCAAGTGTACGAAAATGCGAATTTCGTTTAGTGGGCCGAGAGTCATGACGGAATGAAGAGGCAAAAATTGCTCGATATGCTGAAATGTCCGATGCAACGAATCACACGATACAGTTTACTGTTGAAGGTATGAATTTAAAGAAAAATGAAATTTTCGAATCTTTAAATGTTTTTCATCTGAAACTCTTTCTCTTTTTTTATCGAACACCAATTTTTATTTAGGAAATAAGAATTAACGGTAATTTGATCCGAAAAAAGAATTCTCAAAAAAGGAAAAAAAAAGATTTCTCAAAAAAAAGGCAAAAACTTGTTGACCCTTTTTGTTTTTCGTAAAAGAGAAAAACAAAAATAGATCCCCCGAGGATCCTTCAAAAATTCGAGTGTGAATAACATAAGGGAAAATTTTTGAGGGAAATGGGAAAACTCAATCAATGACTAAGGGATTAGAAAAAAACATTTGAAAGATTGAAAATGGAATGTAAAAACATTGTAAAGTTTGAAATGCGTAAATGTAAAGTCGAGGAAAATTTTAACGAGTGATTTTAGGCGGTTTTGCGAATGTCGATGCACAGCGAGGAGCAGCAATTGTTGCAATCGATGGTTGAGCGGTTTGTGATTAGTTTTAACTCAAAATTTGTCATCTTTCAGAGCCGAATCCGCGACTCATCAACTCAACTTCGAAATGAACAACAACGATTTGCGGCTTCAGTTGCACGAAGTGATGAAAAGTATTGAAGGAGCCGATTATGTGGATGGAGAGGAATTCGAAAAGGTTGATTATCTATAATATCTATAAAAGATAAAAGAGAATGATAGAAACATAATATAAAACTAAAAAAAATATAAAACTATAAGATAAAATATAAAAAATAGACCTAATATAAAAATCAAGAGCAAAAAAACCCATTTTTCAGTTCAAGAGAACATACAGGAGACAGCATTTCGTAAATTTTACCTAATTTTCAATTTTTTTCATTTTGAATTGTTGCAAAAATTTAAAAGCAATGTTTTTAGGCTTTCAAAAATCGGTGTATCCCGAATTTGGCTCATCCGATGGCTTTGAGAGGAGGGCCAGCAAGATTTCGAAGAGTGCATATGAGAGCTGAATTGAAAGTGAAAGAGGGAAAAACGGGGGCAAAGGTTGAACAAAAAGATATTGAAATATTAACAAAAAACGAATTCAGGTTGACATGCATTGTATCATTTTCACCGACATGTTGTTGATGTGCAAAAATCCGAATAAAAAAGGAGACAAGCTGAGGATCGCCCGTCCACCAATACACATCAGCAAGATCTACTATCAGCCGTTCTTCGAGCAACCATGTAAACATTATTTTCAACTAAACTTGGAATTTAGATGGTAAAAATACTGTAAAAGTTACTAGGCTTGCTTAACAAGAATGAACGAGACAAATGGATCGCGCAACTCCAGGCACTTAATCTAGCCTCCAGAGTATCGAATTCAAAAAACCGAATTGAACTTTATTTTATCGTAAAGTCTCGATAAGGTTTTTGATCGACTTTTTCAAAAGAAAAATATAAGTAATTGGTATTATTAGATAGATTAAAAGCTTGGCTTTTAAATAAAAGAAAAGTTCATTGGAATCCTCTTTGTTCATTGGATATTTGATGAATTATTTTTGAAATTTGAAATCTTTTACCTAAATTTTTATTCAGGTGGTTTCTACATGATGATAATGAGCGATTTTGACGTGCCAGCAGCTCTTTATTTAATGTACACAGCGAACATGGATGAGACAAAGCGTTTCCTCGAAATGCTTGGCAGTGCACGTGAAGAGTTCTATCTTTTGCAAAAGGAGGATTCACCGGTTGACGAATTTTATAGAAAGTAACAATAAAGAATCAATATCGATAATGATTTTTTTTTAGTGCTTTCGATTCCCCAACACATTCGATCAGTTCAATCATTCATCGAAAAAGCAGCAGTATGGATAGTCAAGTTGTCGCCGCCGCTCATGCACATTTGCATCGTATGTGATTTGTGTTTAAATCTGCATTTTTACAAAATTTGCTCATTCTAAAGCATTTCCTTTCTACAGTGATCATACTGCAAAAAAGAAACGTTTTAGAATTGGCTTTTGATCAAATTTACCCTCTACAAGCTCAAATTAGTGCAAAGTTTCTTTAGATATGCGCAAAACGGGAACAATCTCCTCAACGGAACAACTCGATCGGGGAATGGGATTGAGCGGAGATTGGACGAATCGTGGTGCAACACCAACACATAAACTATCTGTTGTTTCCTGTCATGCGGCGCCGATCTCACAAAGCAAGAGCTCGGTCGATTTACATCTTGGAATCAATGGTTATTTGGAAAATTTTGATCTCTTTTTATGTTTGTTTCAGGCGCTCGAGCCGCGAGTCCGGAACAGACAAGACATCGATCGAGATCGAATTCATCGGGGCCCGAATTGCCGGATGGAAATGAGAGAAATGAGAGATCGAGAAGCCCGTCACCGACACCGGCAACAAGGACGTCGAGATTGGATACGCCAAGAGGGACTCCGAGGTTTGTATTACACTGTGTGCATCTCGTGTAAAGCGTTTTATAATGCCCAACGAATTTTGTGAATGGCCGAGTGGGTTATGCGTTTGCTTCTAAAACGAGCGACTGTTAGGTCTCCGGTTCGAATCCGGCCATAGTCAGCACTTTTAAGAAAGAACGCTGATTTACGGATAATTTGATAAAGACCAGGCTTGCAGGCGGAAAAAAAAGCTGAAAATTGGATATCTTTTAATTTTCAAAGAAAAAACCAACAAATCGAGGAGCTACGTTTTTCCGCTTTTTCCGTCGCAGTGCGTAGCTGCCCCATTCGTTGGGGTTTTGCTTTGAAAATCAAAAGATATTAAATTTTTTGATTTTGTTTTCCGCTTACGAGCCTAATAAAGATTACTCGAAAACATTTATTAAAGACAAAATCAATGTTTTTAAGCACTCAAATGAGCTAAAAAATCAGTAGCAAAATTTGCCAATGAGTTGTCTTTATTTGACTTTCAAAAGGTCGACTTTCACTTTCAATACGATTCTAAAACCTAGGGTACTTATATTTAAGTTATAAGTTCTGAGATCTTATGCTGTATTCACTTGTGCAATCATTTCCAATCTCGTTTTCTTTAGAAACTCTTCTCCCCAACCAGCAAGCCCTGAAGAAAGAACAGCCGGCTCGCCAGCACTTTTGGTCACCTCAACAGAAGAAGATGATCAACAACCATCGGGAAGTGGACGAAGATTTGAGAAGAGATATCACACAGCTGATGGTATCGATGTACTCAAGCCAAAGGGTGGACCAATGCCAACGGGGATTCTTAAAAGGTTTGCCTTTCTTTGAAATCGCTTTGACAACAGATCAAATAATAGATTGAATTGATCTTCTGTTTCCAATATATTCCTTCTATTACTATTCTGTACAACTTCCTAATCTGTATCAAAATTAGCATTTAATATTATTTTCTATTTATTAGTTATAAGAATTACTTATCGATATTGATCTCGAATGAAATTCAGCAAAAGCTAAAGGTATTCAGCGTTCGTGGTTTGTATATAAATGTCGTGAGATCAATATCAATAAGAAATCGAAGGCAATTATTGTTATCGAATATTTTCATTTCAGATTCTCTTGGAATGTCTCAACAGCAATGGGTGCAAGCAGTCGAAAGATTAGCTCGAAATATCAAGAAAGAGATCATTCAAGAAGACACTCACAATCATCAACAACCGAATCTTTCGGCTCATCAACTTCAGGAATTTGCTCGTCAACGGGAAGCTATCTTGACAGTGTCAAAGATGAAGAGGTAACTCTTGTACCCAAGATATTCAGTTAGTCAATTGAATTGAATAATTGATTATCGCTGGGTTTATAAAGGATCTATGATCTTAAAATCGCACATAAAAGCTAGTTTTTCTTGAAAACTATAACGGTAACATTTTCTAATGACAAATTCTTGATGAGGGAATAAAAAACGTAGATTAAGTGCGATAAGAACTTGTTTAAGTCAATTATGATGGAATCGGGCTTCTTTAAATGTCTATCAAATATCTTAAATCGTAATCTCAAAGATGAACATAATAGCTCCTCCTTTTCAGGGAAAATCCCACGTGTCGACGATTTGCATTGGTGAGGATTCGTGTGAAACATTGAGCACATTGAATGGCTCACTCGATTCCCCGCTTCAATCACTTCCCGAATATCCGGCCGAAAGCTCCTCATCTTTTTCATCAAATGGGATAATGAATGGCCATTCCACTCATCGATCAACGCCACCAATTGTTTGCACTCCGCCCGTTACTGATGACGTTCCGCCCGTTCTTCAGGCGCCGCCAATCGTTCACGAGCCAATGGTCGGTTTAAAACTCCGCATTGTTACAGTATAACAAAAAGCATTCAAGCAATAGGGAAAGGCACTGAATTCTCATGGTCAAGCTGGTCTTTTTGACTTGAGACCAAGTCTATCTTATAGAGTCGATCATGGAAACTTGAGTCCGTTCTTAGTTTTTGCAGATATCTAAATTTCGTACTCGTTAAGAAGCCGTCACACGCCACCTCAACAACTGCTTCGGTGGTCTAGTGGATAAGACTATTAGGCTACCGAACCTATTGCATCTTTGTCCCCAAGTTCGAGTCTCACTCCTACCATTTTCGCTTTTTTAAAAAACTATTTCCCTATGTATCTTTAAAAACGGATTCGAGATCCCCATGGTCGACTCTATAGTTTTTGACCTTTGACTTTGACTCTATAGAACCCCATGGTTTTGAGTCAAGAGGCCAACTTGATTCGGCGCCTTTCCCTTGTAAGAGCTAGAAATACCAAAATTTCTTTCTTACTTTGTTCAAAACCCATTTTTCAGCAAGATTTCATGTGTCCAATTTTATTTTTTGTCTAATCTCGCCCACCCATCTAAAAGGTTTCTTTTTCAGGCGGATCACCCCAATTATCTCTTTGTCACTTATCTCTGCTTCTCGCAACGGTCCAAAAAAGCCTCAAATTTCTCTTGCTTAGCCTCAAATTTGCTAAATCTTTAGCTTTCAATTTAATTTTATCGATTTTATTGTTAAATTTTAGCCTATGAAATCGTTGATTTCGCCTCCACCACCACCACCACCAACGCAACCACCACAACAAACATGTGCATCGCAAAAGATGGCAATGATTGGTCCAGAACATCAATTGCTCAAATTCATTATGGATAACAAACTTGAAACATCGTGAGTTTTTCTTGAAAAGAAAAAGAGAAATTGAGAACGGATCTCTATGTGAGATAACTAGGATTATCGTTGAAGCTTTTAACATTCTAAATTTCGAAATAATTCTGGCTAAAAGGTGGCTTTAAATGCTTTTTAACAAAAATCTGTTTTCAGTGATGTCTAATCTTTCAAAAATTAACACCCCGAATCGACTGAACAGATTGATGTGAATCGGTTGAAATGAAAATTGGACACGCATCGCTTCCTCCCCCTCCCCCCTCACATTATTAATCTTGATTTTCTGAGCAAAAATTCATGTAAACTGATACATCGAGGTTTCCTTTTGCAATAAAGCCTTGTGTACTTTGTGCTCACAAAATGGAAACGCCCTCTTTCTGGTGCACTAAACTCTTTTCCCTTGACGAGAAAGCGAAAGCGTTTCAAGCGATCACAAAGTACACGTATATCCGGAAGAAAAATCAAGTGCACTAGACGAAAGTTTACGATTTTTATGTTCTTTTTCTTATACATTCCTTTTTCTTCTCCTCAAAATCATTCTATTCAACAAAAAAAAAGAATAATCTGTGATTCGATGTAAATGTTTTCCCCATAAATTGCCACACAATTGATCTAATCCAATCTTTGCACCCGCAAAATAAAACCAAATATATTTGCATTTTTGCAATGAATACTTGTACTTTGCATTCTCTAATTTTTTTTTGCTAACCCTTTGAAATGTAATTAGATTTTTTTTGTTGCCTAATTTTTTGTATTTTTTTTAGGACCCCCGCGTCGAGAAATTCCTCAACTTTTCGAACTTTGACAAATGGATTTTTCTAGTTTTTTTTATTTTCCCGAAAAATTCATTAAATTTTTGTATTTTTATTGTGAAAGTCGATAGAAATGTGATATAATTAGTTGGGATTTGATTGTTTTGTTTTGTTTTTTTAAACTATTTCTCTACTTATTTCTCTTCATTTTTCGATTTCTTATCTCTTTCGACGAAAATGGCATAAGTGTGATAGTTCGATTTTTGTCTCGGTTACTTATTGTTTTTCGATTCTTTTTTTTTTACGTTTTCTGGATTTATGTACCCTTGAATAAATGTTTTGTGGTGAAAAAAGAGAAAGAAACATTGAGAATTTATAGAAATTATAGAATGAAATAAGTCAAGTCCCTAGATCACGAAGACAAACCGCACTTTTCGCGGAGGAACTTCAAAGGAGGAGGAGTGTGCTGTGCTGGGCGGCCTTCTCATCGATCGGACGGATCAAATTGGTTTTTGGTGCCAAAGAAAATGAACTCGAGCCAGTATCAGTTTGTGCTTCGACGATCTCTACTTCCCTTCTGGAGCCGCAATCGTCATCGAAATTTGGTGTTTATGCAGGACAATGCGCCAATTCACGCAAGTCAAAGCACGACAGCCTAGCTCCAAAGGAAGGGAATCCCACTCTTGAACTGGCCAGCCAATTCACCGGATTTAAATCAGCAAGAAAACATCTGGGGCTATATGGTCAGAAAGATTTATGAAGGAAATAAGACTTATGGAAGCGTCAGCCAGCTTAAAAAGGCAATTATTAAAGCTTGGCAGACCGTCGATCAGAATCTCGTTGATAGCCTTGTGGGCAGCATGGACAATAGACTTTTTCAAGTAATTCAGCGTCACGGAGGTTCAATCGATTATTAATTTGTTAATTTTTATCAGTTTTTGCTCATTTTGTTAAAATTGTTAACTTTTTTTCAAATGCCTTTAAAATTATGACCACTTGCCAGAGGCACTTTTTGAATAAATTTTATTTTTCTTTAAAAGTTCCAATTATCATCTCCTGGATTTTTGCAGTTATACATGTAAAATTATGATAGTAATGATGTTTAAAAGACGATTTGATTGGATATTCGATATTTTCCAAAAAAATCGTAAAAATTCGACTGCCTTTAAAATTATGTCCAGCAGTGTGCTTTTATTTTTACATTTATTTGAAAGACAAAATGAAATTTCTCCTTTTTGTGCACTCAAGTTCTTCGTTTTACATAAATAGGTCATTTTTGAGTGAAACGAGACAAGAAAAAGAAAAGAAACGAACAAAAATGAAGACATTTATGTAGATGAGGGAAATTATTTTCATCCCCTTCCATTTTCATCTAAAAGTTTAAATGGTTCGTGCAAAAGACTTCAATTTTGTTAGTTATTAGTTAGCTATTTTTCCGAGAACTTCGGTCAAATTTTGGGATTTTTGACAAAGACTCTATCTTTCAGCAAACTTTCAGCAAACTTTCAACCAACTTTCAGCCAACTTTCAGCAAACTTTCAGCAAACTTTCAGCAAACTTTCAACCAACTTGCAGCCAACTTTCAGCAAACTTTCAGCAAACTTTCAGCCAACTTTCAGCCAACTTTCAACCAACTTTCAACCAACTTTCAACCAATCATTCCATCATTTTTCTCCTCATTTGACCTCTTCACCTTTCATATTTCACAATGATGATCTATAAGTTTCATTTTAAAACATAAAAGGTCATGAATTTAAGTCCGTTTTTAGATGAACTGTCATTTATTTCTCTTCATTTCAACCAAAACTAAGAACAAGTTTTGAGAGCTCACTTTTACTCAAAACTATAATGAAAAGAGAGAAAAACTGAAAATCTGACCGGTTACTTATGAAAAATTTCACTGACTTTGAGTGCTGAGTAATAGGCGAATCTTCACTTGCGCACAGAGCTCATTTTTTGACATCTTTCTTCGAGTTTTCAATTGATGTAAATGATTCTGATCTCAGTGAATTGAAATCTGTTCAAATGACTCGACAACTCTTTCAAACCTTTTTTTTAGCTTAAACGAACCTTGTAATTTTGAGCTTATTACTGCAAGGAAATTTTCTAGCTCTAATTCTAATACTAATTCTAATACTAATTCTAATTCTAATACTAATTCTAGACTTCGGAAAACAAAACTTAACCAAAACCAAAACCACCAAAACCAAAACAAACCAAAACCAAAACCAAAACCAAAACTAACCAAAACTCGCCAATATCTCGCGACTGGGAGGAGCTAGCGAAAATCTGTTTGCAGATTTGAAATCAGCATCCAAAAATCTATCCCATAGGCTATTTTTTGTTTCGAAATTTCGAGGTCGTGTTTTGGTCCTTTTTTCGGCCGCGAGATTTTGTGGAGTGAGAAAAAGTGAAAGGCAAATTTGCATTTTACAATTTTAAATTTACATGTTAATTTATATGCAAATTGAGTTTTGGTTTGTTTTGGTGTTTTGGTTTTGGTTTTGGTTTTGGTCTGTTTTGGTTTCGGTTTTGTTTGCCGAACTCTAACTAATTCTAATATTAATTCTAATTCTAAACTCTATTCTATAAAATTCTATGGAAATAGATATTCGAAAGTTTAAACTATTGAATCTATTTTGAAATTTCTAAGGCCGGTTTTAATCCAAAGAATTTGATTGACCTTTGATTGACACAACTTTTAACTTCTCTCTTAACTTTTCTTAACTTAATCGAAGGTAATCTACATGAAGGGAAATTGTAGTAGTGAAGGGGAAAAGGAAAGAAAGAAACGATGAGTGCTCCTCAATCTTTTTTTTTTCTCTCTTTTCTTTTCTAGCCTTAGAAATAGAACTCATCGAGGGATGCGGAGGAGGAGGAGAAGAACTGGTCTACTCCTCCTCTCCCCTCCTCTTTCAACTCTCGATGAAATGACCACAGTTCAATAAACTCATTTCATTTCTTTTTTTAAAAACCTTTTACTAATTAGTTTATCAAAATAACTAGCTAAAAGCTAAAATAATTTTCTTCGTTATTACCAAAAGATTTCTAGAAAGTGAATCGACTCTTTGTATTTGTATTACCGTATTTTCTGTAATAGTAGTGCAGTCTGTAATAGTAGTGCAGGCTGGAGGGGGAGTTGAAAAAATAGTAGTGCGCACTACTATTACAGAAAATACGATAATTTGAGTGATTCGAGAATTTTATAGAATTATCATTATGTTCATCGTTTACAATAAATCTGCTAATTTATTTCTCTTCTTTAAAAATCAAAGCTTATTTACTCTAAACTTATAAGCTTATAAGCTCTAATACAATCATTGTCTTCATCTTATAAGCTCTAATACACCTTATAAGCTCTAATCCAGCTTAGCCTATAATACAGCTTAGCTTATAATACAGCTTAGATTATAAACTCTAATACAATCATTGTCTTTATCTTGTAAGCTCTAATACAGCTTATAAGCTCTAATCCAGCTTAGCCTATAATACATCTTAGCTTTATAATACAGCTTAGATTATAAGCTCTAATACAATCATTGTCTTTATTTTTTTAAAGCTTTAAAGCTCTTAAAGATTTTCTGTTGTAAAAAACCTTGAATATATTCACGTTTTCGTAGATTACAATAAAACACAAACTGTACAAAGAAAGACCTGTTCTTTTCATCGATTCTTCAATTCTCTTTCCTTTCTTTATCCCTTTCTTTACCCCTTTCTCAATCCCTTTCTTCTCATTCAAGGTCAGATCTCATTCGATTACTCATCTCCCATTTTTTACAAACATAAAAACACAACAAAATTTCACACACAAATCGGTAGAATTCGATCATTTCTACAATGTTTATTTAGTTGTTTATCGCTTTGCCTAAAATCATTTGTTCTTTAAAGGCGGGATCTCGCTAAAACCAAATTATTGACAGATGGGTGTAGGAATATGTAGTTTTGCACAAATGTACATCTCAATAAATCTTTTTACTATTCAAAAAAACAAAAGAGAAATCTTATGTAAATGACTGGCGACGTGTTCTATGTGCGCGCACACAATCGCTCTCAATCTGGCATATGCGTCTGGGGTAAGGGGTTTCTTTTTTGGAACGTTCTGGAATGTACAGCTCAATAAAACAAATGTACAGCTCAATAAATCTTTAATTTCTACATAAATCTGTAACATTAAAAAAAAAGCAAAAAAGAAATCCCAATGTAAATAACGAGTGTTCTCTGTACGCGCGCACAATCGCTCTCCATCTGGCATATGCGTCTGAGGTAAAGGGTTTAGCTTTTTTGAAATAGAAGATAACGGTCAGGAATTGAGCCATTCTGATTTTTTTGGGTGCCCCGAATCCTTAGGGAATCTCTTCTGCCTCGGATTTGACCGTATTTATCCACAAATTCCAAACCTGAGATCGCATGCCACACTCCGGGAAAACTCCCGTCGGCCCCTCCAATCCCTCCAGTAAAACGTCCTAGTTTTCCGGCGGAACGTAATTTTCTTCCAGAAAGTTTCCGGTAAAACTTTCTGTCGGAACTTTCCGGGGAAAAGTCCACTCCGCGGGAAAACTATGGACGTTTTACCGGAAAGGATCAAAGGTGTGGCCATCAGAGACGCCAGAGACGTCAGAGGGAAAAGTTTCGGTTAAAAGGGCTCCGGTTAAACTAAAACTTTAAGATAAACCGATTTACTCCATCCATTCCGACATAAAACCATCAAAAAATGACCACTACACCCAACTTGACGACAATTCGGCTTTAGTGAAAATCGATCCCTATTCGGACCCATCCTTTAAGTCAAATCTGAAGATCTTTTGCTTTAAAACTTCTAACGTATCCAATTGAACGAGATCTGTTTCCATTTGATTGTTTCTCTTGATTTCCTTCAGTCATCCCGATCATCTTCCCCCTTTTCCCCTCTTTTATTTGCTCTTTTCACTCGGCGTTCGTTTTCTTCTTTTCTTTTCTTTTCATCCACTTTATCCGATGACTCCATTCTCGGGATTCTTTGTTTTTATGATTTCTGTAGATGATTCCTTTCTCATCAAATTTTTCTAGCTTATTAGATGTTTGATTAGATGTCTCATCAAAGATCATCATCATCAGATTACATCAAATTTTCCTAGTCATTATTAGATGTCTCACAGGCCATGAAAATCATCTTTTTTAACTTTTTTTTTAACTGAAAAACCTTGTATCTTTTGTTCTTTCAATTCAAAATCTATTGGTTTTTGTTTGGAGAACAAATCAAAGCCATATTTTGCTATCAAAGCCATATTTTGCTATCGAAGCTATATTTTGCTATCGAAGCCATATTTTGCAGAATTAAATCTCAATTCTAGATTTATGCATTATATGAAACGATTCCCCTCAAATCGACAATGAAATGTCCATGGTGGAAACGCTTTTGTGGCTTAATTCTTCTCCTTTACGGTGTCTTCTATTTAGCGTTTTTCTTTTTTAATCTCATTTCCATACATCAACCGGAGAGAAATTTCACGAAAAAAGTACGTTTTTTTTTAATGGAATGAAATGTTTACCGTATTCTCTCTAATAGTAGTGCGCACTACTATTTATTTCAACCCCCTCCTGGACCGCAATACTATTAGGTTGTCCAATAAGTAATGCGTGTTTTGACACGATTTTCAAAATATCACAAAATTAACAAAAGAGAACTTTATTAATCGATATATTCTCCACAACAATCAACAACATTTCTCCATCGTCCGAGCAAAGAGTGAAGTCCGTCATAATAGAATGAAGCTGGTTTCGATGAGAAGAAATCGTCGAGCCATTTTTGCACCTCGTCAACACTTTTGACCCGTTTCCGTCCGCAAATCGTTTAAACCAGCGCTGGCACTGGCTGATTGAAATTGAATCCTCTCCAAATGCGGCACAGATAGTTCGATGGCAATCCGCTGCAGTTTTACCTCGTTTGAAATCATACAGCATTGATGCGCGGACGACAAACTTTTTGTCTTTCATCTGCAAAACAACAGATCTATTAGGTTGATGCAAAAGTCTTTTTCATTTTTTTCGTACTTCCGTTAAAAAGTAACAAATGCACCAATTGAACAACGGTTTATTGCATTCGAAAGGCCAATTATTTTTCTGCAAAATGACATTAAAACGAGTTTAAAATGTCTTATGTCTAGATTTTTTTGAGAGCCTGAAGTCGGGTAGTCAAAAAAGGCGACGGCTCGATGATGGATTTTAGACGCTTTAGCTAAGGAAACCAATCTTGATGTTAATAAATAAAAGATAGAGCACAAAAAGTTAGATATTTTTTCAGATTTTCAGAGAAATTGATTCAGCCAATTTCTTTATAGAGGTTTTTATAGATTTTTATGATTTTTATAGTTTTTATAGATGGTTTTTATAGATGGTTTTTATAGATTTTTATGAAAAACCCGTTTTCACTCTCGAATTTGCTTGAAAGTGAACCCAAATTGACTTAAAAAGATGGGAAATTCAACAATAAACACTTTTCATTTAGAGGTTAATTGATGACTTTGTTATTTTTCAAAAGAAGTACGAAAAAAATGAAAAAGACTTTTGCATCAACCTAATATTATAAAAGAAAGGCAAATGAATAAAATAATATATAAAAATAAACACAAGATGCTGATGATTAAAAAGAGCATATATTTGCTCGAAGCGATTTCGCAATAGTTTCGAAATAAGTAACACGCATTACTTATTGGACAACCTAATATTAGAGAGTTTTATCAGCCTCACTTTTGGTTGCTTGAATAGCTTTAGAATGTCACAAAAACATAAAGTCAAAAAGGTTTAGATGAAAAAGAAGCACCAGAAATGCAAATTTTCGGGGGTGCACTACTTTTTTTTTCAACTCCCTCTCGGACCGCAATACTATTAGAGAGTGCATACTATTAAAGAGTGCACTACGATTAGAGAGAATACGGTAATTGAAAATGAAAGTTGAAGCTGACCTTTTAGTTAATTATTCTCATTCAGGAACTTTTCGAGGGTCCTCTCCTCCATCGATATCATCCACCAAATCATCGAGATAAAGGATTAAAGGTTTCTTGATCGTTTTGATCGTTTCTAGATCGTTTTCTCCTTCTTTTCTATCATTTTGTTCAGACAATTTCCGGTGTCTTTATGTTGAATGGTCATTCTTCAGTCGATCAATCGATCAATGACTCGTTTCAGTCATTCGATTCGTCCGCTCCTCTGCCTGAGATTTCGAAGGAATTCTTGAAGGTAAAGTTTTAGGAAAAAACAAATAACCTGACTTAAGTTTTTGTTGAATGGTCATTCTTCAGTCGATCAATTGATCAATGACTCGTTTCAGTGACTTAAGTCTTAAGTCATTGATCGATCAATCGATCAATGACTTAAGTTTTTCTTACCTGTTTGTTTTTCTTACCTGTTTGTTTTTCTTACCCGTTTGTTTTTCTTTTGAGTTTTAAAATGAAAGTGTTTTCTAGAAATTGACCGAAAGTGCTCAAAAAATCGTGGAACGAGACGGGAATTTGCCTCTTTTCACTTTCATCAACACTGCATATAAAGAATTAACGCTGAATTGGCTTTGCAATGTCGCTGAATTTAATGTGAGAAGTTGCATTGAGTTTTCAGTTTCCAGATTTACAAAATAGTTTCCAGAATACTTTACAAAGGACAATAATCGTAGCAACGAGTGAATTATTTTGTCGGAAATTGAAAAGTGAATGGAAAGAGGTGAGGATTCTAAGTTCTAAGTAAAAACTATAAATTTAAAGAGATAGGGAACCAAATTTAAAGAGATAAGGAACCAAAACTACTAGTGAAGAAGAAAGTGAAGTTTTTTCGTAGTTTTTACGTGATGTTCAGGTGATTTGTCTCTCGCTACGACTCGGCGCAGAATACGAGGGTTCATTTGAATGGGGTCGACAACAATACGTCAATCTTCTAAAGATTAGGGCGAAAATCATGCTACATCTTGTACAGGTTTGTGAAATATTTGAATATCTGATTATTCGTTCCTAGTTATAAACGGATATGGACTAGAATTCGAGTTAAGTTAAAGAGAGTGGATCCTTTTGATACCCCGCCATCTCTAACACCCCGACAACCCAACTCAACTCCTCCAACGTATTAGAGGGGAGTCCCTGTGAAATGACCGACCTGAACTGCAGTTGCATAGACCCGGAAGATATACATCTTTATTTACAGTAGTATGATAAGACGAATAGATTACAAATGAGTGCAAGGGGAAGGGGGACTCACTGTCTCACTGGGGACCAAATGAGAGTCTCACATGTCCTCCTAGGCTCCTCACTGTCCTCCTAGGCTCCTCACTGTCCTCCTAGGCTCCTCACTGTCCTCCTAGGCAATCCCAAGGACCGCCCCTTCTCGGCGATAAAAGGGATATGCACAGGGGAGAACACATTTGCATAAGAGTAGACAAATCATTCAATAATAACAATAGTAACTAAAATATCAGTTTGGCTCCGAGCTGACATGATAAATAAATGTAGATATTTCATAAGTGATTCAGAAAAAGTTACCCTTTGTGCTATTCGAGACGGACGCGATTTGGTTAAAAGATCCGACTGAACTCTTTGAGAATCGGACATTCGTTGATGATGCCGATATCATTGTGCCAACAAAAGGATATACACATAAGGTGAAATTTCGTTAATATAGAATATTTAAAGATATAGAATCAATATCTAAAGATATTCAACAAATCAAAGATATTCAACAAACTAAGATCGTTAATATAGAATACTAAGATATCAATCATACTAAAGATATGTCAATACTAAAGATATTCAATCAATATCTAAGATATTCAGTAATATCGGATATTGATCAATGCTAAAGATATTGTCAATATCTAAAGAGTTCGTCAATATTTAGATATTCAGTCAATATCTAAGTTTCGTCTGCTAAGATATTCAATCAATATCTAAAGATATTCAATCAATAGCTAAAGATATTCAATATCTAAATATTCTAAAGCTTCAGGGAGACACATATTCTTTTGATCCGATGCTTGTTTATCCAACAAAGGCAACGCTTTCGTTGTTCTTGGAAATGACAAGAAGATTGATTAAACGAAAAAGAACATATGATCAGGTTGAAAAGATTTCACTTTTTAAATAAGATTTGTAACATTCGATTCAAGGATATTCTGGAGGAATTGTGCAAAAATCAATTCAATGGAGTGATTTGTCGACAATTTGAATGGAATGAGATTGCTGATGGGAAATGGTGTGTGCCAAGAGTTGGGCCAAGAGTTGGGCCAAGAGTTGGGCCAAGAGAATATTCAAAAGAACGGACTGCATTAGCTGCATTATGAAATAGCTGTTCCTCTTTCTGAAATGCACTTATTTTGGAAAAACTACCGTACTCAACTCGTCGGCCTTCATTTGATCAGTCTTTTGGCCAAAAGGCTCAGTTAATATGACAAAAATTTAGCTGATCAAATGTAAAATGCCGGGTTTTCGAGGTGCATTTTAGAAAAGAAAATAGCTGAGCTCTTTATTATAATCCATACAATTTAATTCTAGGTTTAAACTCTCGGAAAATGAGCGTCTCCAATATAAACCCTACATTGTCAATAATAACTACTATGTTGGAGTCGACAATAAGGTGAGATATTCATATAAATTTATAGAAAAAGGGTTTTTTAAATGAGATTTTGAACTCTTTGAACTCTTTGAACTCTTTAAAGATTCATAAGTTTATCTAGAAATCATATTATTCAAAACTCTACAAAGAGAATACAGGGTGCGGCAAAAGTTCCGACACTTTTTGTAAACGGGCAGTTTGACTTGGAAAAAACGCGATTCTTGCAAAAATTAACACCGGATTATAAAAATTCAGATATTTTTACCCCCTAATATACTTTTTTTTGACACAAAAATTGCCATCTAAACAACCCTTTGATGAGGATGTTTAAAGGTCGTTACAGCAGTTTTTTTTGGGGGGTAGTCAAAACAGCGCCATAATAGAAAACGTTCAAAACAGCGCCGTCAAATTTCTCAAAATCCAAAAAACCAAGCCAGTTCAAGTTTTATATCAAAAAATTCCTTGCGTTCTTGGCTACATGATGGGTGAAACAGTTTTTTAAAAAAGTTAATATTTCATACATAAAAAGAGCACTCAAAATGGATCTCTAAAGGTATTCAGTTAACCAACTGAGTATCACTCGACACACATTTTGAGTGCTCTTTTTATCTATGAAATATTAACTTTTTTTAAAAACTGTTTCACCCATCATGTAGCCAAGAATGCAAGGAATTTTTTGATATAAAAGTTGAACCGGCTTGGTTTTTTGGATTTTGAGAAATTTGACGGCGCTGTTTTGAACGTTTTCTATTGTGGCGCTGTTTTGACTACAATCAAGAGAAAAACATTCGATTATTTAATAATAATACTTTATTCAAACGATAAAGTGAAAGAAATGATAGAGAAATGCACAGTGATACTTAATCATACAATACATACTGAAATCAATAAGCCAATTACTTACGGCAAAGAGCCACTAGATCTAAAGCATCGATACGTTTCTTGAATATGAAAAGCGACTGAATTTCTCGTATGTCGTTTGGGAGCAAGTTCCATAATCTAGCGGCTCTAACGGGAAATGAATTTGATAAAGAGGCATTGGAAGCAAAGGGAATTTGCAAAAGGAATGAGCCACTTCTGGGCCCTGACCGCGGTTTAAAACTCAGTTCTATCAAATGGTAACAGAAGTCTTTGGAAAAAATTTCATTCTGCAAAGTTTAAGTCAACTTTCGCAAAAAACTTCAGCGACCAGACCGGGATATAAAAAATTCTCGTCAAAAAGTTATTGAGAGTTGAAATCTTTTGATAAAAATGGCTATATTGGGGTGAAACTACATAAATTTTTAGAATCCGGCGTTAGTTTTTTGAAATGCCCGGGTTTTTGAGGCCAAAAAAATGACTGCTTACAGAAAAAGTGTCAGAAATTTTGTCGCACCCTGTACTTTATGACTTTCAAATGATATCAAGTAGAGCTGAATTAGACAATGCTGGAAATTTTTAATAAAATGAATAGCTCCAATCGATTCGTCGACCGTGAAAATACAAATTTACAACTGATAATCTTCTTTTTGTCCATAAAGGAAAAGAGAAATCCTTAAGAAAATGACTGGTGAATTGTTTTCTGTGCGCGCGCAAAATCGCTCGCCGTCTGGCACAAGTCCCTGATAGATAGGGCTTCCCTTTTGGAGTCGGCAAGTTGCGAAAATCGAATTCCTAACAATTCCTAACAATTCTCTGTCCGAAATATCTCTCAAGGTTTTGCAAAAACAAGATCTGTCTATCCTATAGAATCTCGAGGTTCTAGATCTCGAGGTTCTAGATCTCGAGGTTCTAGATCTCGAGGTTCTAGATCTCGAGGTTCTAGATCTCGAGGTTCTAGATCTCGAGGTTCTAGATCTCGAGGTTCTAGATCTCGAGGTTCTAGATCTCGAGGTTCTAGATCTCGAGGTTCTAGATCTCGAGATTCTATAAGATAGAGACCCCGTTGCATAAAGTGATTTCAAGTCATTCGCCTTCTCCCGTTAAGTCATGATTTCATTGTCTCGATTTAAATTCAAAAGTGATTTTCAAACTCGTTGAAAATCCCCGTATCATCGATAAAAACCGAAAAATCAATAATATATTCTTTTTTTTTCTTGTAGATAGCTCGTCAATCCATCAACGGTTTATGGTTTCTTTCGAAAATGCACCGTTGTGTGGCGCTCAAAGTGCGGAAAGCACTCAAAAAATATAATCAAACAAAAAATTGAGTATTTCTTTCATTTCTTTTTATTTCTATGTCTCTACGGGTCTTTCTTTACGGGTTTTCCCCTCAAAAACTTTGCCTTTGAATTTATTTTGATTTATTTGGATTTATTTTGATTTATTTTGATTTATTTGGATTTATTAGGTTGTCCAGTTATGAATGCACGCCTGCTCTTGAACAACTTGAACAGCATTCCTTGGAGCTTTACAATTCTATTAAACCCAATTCTCGATCTGCTGTTCAGGATTTCTTATTTTATTACGACTTTTCTTTTCTTTTTTTTTATTTTATTACAACTTTTCTTTTCTTTTTCTTATTTTATTACAACTTTTCGTGTTTTTGACGTCAATTGATTCAATTTCCGTGTTTAGAGTTAATTTCTGTGTTTAGAATTTCTGTGCTTAGAGTTAATTTCTGTGAACGACACGAAGTTTGGTCTCCGTGCCAGTCTTTGGTATGACTTCAAATTGGGCAAAAATATCGCTGAATCTCATCGTGGCCTTTGGAAAGTATTTTGGAAGATGCTATTTCGGAAAGTCAGTGTCGGCGATGGTTTCAACGATTTCGAGAAGGAAATGCATTTTTTTGGGAGATGAGGCCTCCTACGATCGAGAATGCAGTACTTAAACAGGCGATCGAAATTCATCCTCGACAAACTACACGTGAACTTGCAGAAATATTTCGAATAAGCCCTCAAAAACGCGCATTTATAACTGGACAACCTAATATTTTGATTTATTTGGATTTATTTTGATTTCTTTTGATTTCTTTTGGTTTATTTGGATTTATTTTGATTTCTTTTGATTTCTTTTGATTTCTTTTGATTTCAAGACTGTTTTGTGATTTGCATTTGATGTGATTCGCAAGAAAATTTATCTTTATTTCATATTCATTTCAATAGAAATCTCGAGCTCATTTTTCAATCTTAGAAAATAAAAAGAAAATAAAAGAAAATGACAAAAACAAGTAAAAGAAAACCTCGTTTTATCACGCTTTTTGCAAAGGCTCACCGGGGAGAAAAAAAATTTCAATTTTTTTAAAAGTTAATTTTGAAAGATTTACTTTAAAATAATCTCAAAATCGATAAAAACAAAGAATTTTTTTTTTTTGGTTCTTTTCTGTTATAAATCCGTAAAAAAACCCCTAATCATTTCTGTGATGGATTCGCAAAATTTGCATCCATTGAAATTGAAATCCTTCCATTGAAAAGCAACGAGGAAAACCCACAGAAAAATTCATTCTTTTTGCTATTTCCTGACTTTTGCTATTTCCGCTACCGAGCGCCGATGCAATCTCGTTTTTTCAACAAAGCCGCATCTTGTCGACATGCGCCAACGCTTCACCTTATAAAGCTAGCGCTCAATCAGAAGCCCCGATGGAGATGGCTTAGGCTTAGGCTTAGGCTTAGGCTCAGGCATAGGCTTAGGCTTAGGCTTAGGCTTAGGCTTAGAGACAATTTATTATTTATTTTTGATTATTAAATGATTAGGGATTATTTTTGCGAATTTATAACTGAAAAGTAGTGAATTTTTTTTTGAAAAAATATTGCCCTGAAGACAAGTTTTGACCAGATTTTCCGGGAGAAAAAGGAAAAAGATGACAAGAATCGGTGGGGTTTTTGAGATTGACTAGATAATGATGAAATTGAGTTTGTTTTTGCTTTGGGCTAGAGGCTTTGAGATGAAAAAGAGAACAATTGCGAGGGTAAATGCATGAAGAAAAAAACTATCGTTTAGTAGAATAGACAGGATTTTTTGGGGGGGGGGGGAAATCTGTAAATCGGATAGATACGTTGTTGGCTTTGCTTTGCGCTGAAAGATGAACGTCGTCTGGTAAAATTCGCTGAAGTTTGCCGGAAGTTTTGGCTTTTCTCAAGTTCTCTCAAGTTGATTTTTTCAAAATTTCACGGCAATTTCGAAATTTCAAAATTTCACCTAGCAAGTTTACAGATTTCCCGAAAATTTCTTCATAAACGTAAAGAAACTCGAAATTGTCGAATGACTCGAAATGGTCGCCCGTTCTTTGTGCTCCGACTCAAACTAAATCGATCTGGCACACGGAAATCCCAATTTTTTACATACACCAATAGATACCAAACGTTTGTGTGAAAAATGAGGAATCGCGTGGGCCAGATCGTTTTAGTTTGAGTCGGAGCACAAAGAACGACCGACCGAACTCATGTATAAGAGAAACTATCAAAGAAATTTATAACAGAAATATTAGGCAACTTCAAAGTTGGTACACTTTTTCGCATTTCCCATAAAATATATTTTAATTGAATTAGACTTCTTGCCAAATGAATTAGACTTCTTGCCAATTGAATTAGAGTTCTTGCCAATTGAATTAGAATTCTTGCCAATTGAATTAGAGTTCTTGCCAATTGAATTAGAGTTCTTGCCAATTGAATTAGAGTTCTTGCTAATTGAATCAGACTTCTTGCCAATTGAATTAGAATTCTTGCCAATTGAATTAGACTTCTTGCCAAATGAATTAGAATTCTTGCCAATTGAATTAGACTTCTTGCCAAATGAATCAGACTTCTTGCCAATTGAATCAGACTTCTTGCTAATTGAATCAGACTTCTCGAAATAAAAGTTTGACATTGTCGAATTTAAGATATGCTCAAGCAAATTTGGGGGAACTTTTGAAACGAATTTGAGCGAAAAATCGTTTTTTTTTTTTTTTTGAAAATACTTTAAACAGACATATAACTAAAGCAATTGGACAAATCGCGCTGAGAATTCGGCTCTCTATGCCTAACTTTTCATGCTCGATCTTTTTTCTATTCACATCAACATAGGTTTATGCGGAAGAAAGTGCTCAAAGCGCTTCATCGAGTGTTCATCATCTTTGGCTCCTTGCGCCCCTAGAAATCTATAAAACAAAACAAAAAACTTTTCTTAATCTTTCAAAAGGCTGCTTTAAAGAATAAAATGCGCTTTTTCTTTATTGGTAAAAAGCTGTAGATTAATTGGCGCAAAGGCTTTTCTCAAGTTTCTAAAAATTTCAAAGAATAAGTGTACCGACTTTCAAATTTTCCAATCTATTGGGTTGGGGACTATGACTCGGCGCCAAACTTTAAAGGGACTTTTTGCACACATAAAGCCTTCTTTAAACATACGTTTGGTTTGATCAAAAGGATCCACTATTTCTCTACAAAATCACTTTTGAGAGATTCCACAAAGCTTTTCTTTCGTGGAGTTTATGGACTTCCAAACGCAGCTGGTTAAAATGGCAAAGAGTCCGACTCATCATTTGAACAGTTTCTTTCACATAAACCTTCTTTGGTGTTTATATAAAAAAGATAGAGCACATTCAATTACTTAAGTTGCCAAATTTGCAGGAAGATCCCACCAATGGTTTTTTCTAGATCACAGTTTGTAGTTTTTGTGAAAAAATGGCTTTTTCTTGAGCGGAGGCGCTGTTTGAATTTTCTTTTAAATGTCATTTTGTAGAGAATTAGTTAACCATTCTACTCATATCAAACGCATATTATTTGACGAAGTCGAATAGAAGTTTTAGACATTTTTTTGATTTTCGGCGCCGAGTCATAGTCCCCAACCCAATAAGTTGTCTAAGTCCAATCCAATCCAATACAAAAGTTGAAAACGAATTGAAACCGAATTAAAACCGAATTAAAACCGAATTAAAACCGAATTAAAACCGAATTAAAACAAAATTGAAGTAAAATTGAAACAAAATTGAAATAAAATAAAACAAAATAAAACAAAAATACAAATAAATCCGATTTAAAGATTCAGATTTGAAAAATAAATTCATAAAATACCCATTTTGGAGTGTTTGTTTGTCTGTGATTGTGATGTGTGTGTATGTACAAAAAAAAAGAACAAACAAATAAACGAGAGGATAATGAACATGAAACAACATGAAACAATCACTAAACATCAAATTAAAGCTAGGAAAATGGAGAGATTTCTCGTCTAATTCCCAAAAAAAAAAAAAAACAAAAAATGAATATCCTATAATCGATGAGTATTTTCTTTCAATTTTCTTTCAATTTTCTCTCTTTTTTTTTAATGTCTTCCATCAAGCGCATCCAAATATTTGTAGTCGATCAAACGGGGTATCAATGTATGACTAAAAAAAGAAATCTCTTTTCAAATCTCTTTTCAAATCTCTTTTCAAATCACTTTAAAACCCTCTCCAGATGTTTAAGAAGATTTTGACTTCGAATAATAAGTTTAAATCTTAAAATTTGATTGTATAACGATTATAATTTGATTGTTTAACGAAAAGCTTCAGATTATTTAAATTTAAAGCTCTCAAGGTTCAGAGCTGAGCAATTTTTGGGAGAGCATTTGAATCATATTCTTAAAGAAGCTGAGAAGAGCCATTTTACGGCGGCTCTAATCACCGGCTCAACGTTGTTTTATCACCCAAGGCCTCCTAACCAGCCCAACGTTAATGTGTTTCTGTAAAAAAATTTTCAAAACGTGAGAGAACTCCCCCAAGAGTCGAACCCAAGTCCTTCACACTGGCGGCGGCCTTATACTTTAAAACCTATCACCTTTACCGTATTTTGGTTTTCCCCAAATTTCCACCTCTTTCTTCACTCACCGTATCGGCAGGAAAAAGAAACAAACAATCGGGAAGACCATTTCGATGAAAGGATATGGAGAAAAACCGAAACCACAAAGAATCAATAACTAAATGAAAAGAATTGAGTAGATTTGAATGATTTGATTTGAATGATTTGATTTGAATGATTTGATTTGAATGATTTGATTTGAATGATTTGAATTGAATGATTTGAATTGAATGATTTGAATTGAATGATTTGAATTGAATGATTTGAATTGAATGATTTGAATTGAATGATTTGAATTGAATGATTTGAATTGAATGATTTGAATTGAATGATTTGAATTGAATGATTTGAATTGAATGATTTGAATTGAATGATTTGATTTTAATTTGAATCTTCTAAGATTATTAGCTAAATGAAGATGAAGACTATTATCTAAATACAGTCGACTCTCGATCTCGATTCAACGATTCGCTCAGGTTAACGATTCTGAAAACGTGCCTCAAATCTCTTGCGTAGCTGCCTTGAACCGTAAACGATTGGCTGAGCAGCTAGGCAGAAAGTAAAAGCGTGTTTTAGAATTTCAAAAAATGTTAAATCGAGAGTCGACCATTAGTTTCCTATTTCCATTAGTTTACCTGTACAAGTTGACATCCCGTGAAAAGATGCACTTTTCTTTGTGGCACTTTTCTTATGTAATGTGTCGGTGGGTAGGCTTGCTGAAAACGTAAATGATCTTCAACATTATTTCATCTTCGATTTCTATTTAGTTATTTGTGTCACCTGTTCAGTGATGAGTAACAACAAACGCTCGAACATTTCATTTCCGGTCAACGACGTCAATGCCATATATAAGAAAAGACCGTGTAGAACCTGAGATCATCGATTTTTGTTTTGATTTTGTTTTTTGATGATTGTTGAAATTGAATCGAATCGAAATCGAATAAAAGAAAATAAAAGAAAATAAAAGAAATAAAAGAAATAAAAGAGAGTATCCTTTAAAACTCACCGATGTTGGTATCCATCGAAGTGGGAATGGGAGGAGATAAAAAGTGGATAAAAGGATCAAGATATGAGCTATTAATGTAGCCACTCGTGTCTCTCGAACGTTCATGATGCTGAAAGGATTTGAAATTGAAATTAAGAAAACTTTCTTTGTGTACTTTTATGAAGTTGTTTTTTGGAATTTTAACCTTTTAAAAATTTTCAATTCTTGAAAAGTCTTTTAATTTGAAATCTTTGCAAAAAGTTCCCTCAGTTTACCGTAAAACGGCTCTAATAGATTTTTGCGTTTCCTATCTTTAAGCTAATGTAACGATGAACTAAACGATAAGGTCTCAACCAGGCGAGTTAATGTAAAATCTTTGTGGAGTACGGTAGCCGAGTCAAGCTATAGCTGAGCTAGTTGAGCTCGAGTAGCTGAGCTAGCTGAGCTCGAGTAGCTGAGCTAGTTGAGCTCGAGTAGCTGGGCTAGCTGAGCTCGAGTAGCTGAGCTCGAATCGAGGCTCGAAAAAGTTAGAAATAAGTACAGTCGAACTTCGTTAGTGAACTATGGAAGGGATCCTAAAAAACCGTTCACTATCAAGGCTCGTTCACTATCGAGGTTTTAATAGTTGTTTTTGAACTTTTAACTTCAATTCTTGAAAAGACTTTTAATTTGAAGACTTTCAAACTTCGCAAAAAGTTCCCTCAGTTTACCGTAAAACGGCTCTAATAGATTTTCGTTTTTCCTAACTTTAAGCTAATGTAACGATGATCTAAACTACTGTACTGATTACTGTAAAATCGATATGGAGAACGGTAGCCGAGTCACACTTTAACGCTCGAGTCAAAGCTCAAAGAAAAAAAGCCACAAAGAACAGTAACTAGCTCTATTTCTTTCGTAATCAATATTTATCAAGAAATTTCTTGAATTCGATTTCTCATAGCTACCATCGATTACTTACACTTCATGTACATGTCCTTGTGAAACTCTTTCTTCAACATCGGCCAATGCCCGTAAATGAAGTGGTGAATGGGGAAGTGCGCCGTGCATCCACGGAAGCCCCACCAACGACAGAAATGAATTCAGAATCGCCACCACGAAAAGATCCAGATTTTGTGTGGTACCCTTTTTGAGTCTAAAAGAAGAAGATTTGAAAAAAAATGATTTGTGAAATTGTTTACTTATTCTGTGAATTGTTCACAATGGCCGAGGTGATATTTTGGTCGATGAAGAAGAGGAATGATAGAGAAAAGCCGAGTAGAAGACACACAAAATAACTAGAAATTTGAATTTGAAGAGATTTAGTTAGCCTTCTATTTAGCTTTTGAAAAAACTCACCCTTGCCAAGGGAGACTGAAAACGTCGGCCACTTTAATCAAAGGAATTTCCTCGCGCATGTTGAACATATCCTCTGAAAAGATTTCATTACAATATAAGATTCGATCTTGATTGACTTAAGATCGACTTACTATCGACTTAAGAAAGATTTAAGATCGACTCAAGATCGACTTAAGATCTACTTAAGGTCTACATAAGATCGACTCAAGATCGACTTAAGATCTACTTAAGATCTACACAAGATCGACTTACTATCTACTTAAGACCGACCTAAGATCTACTTAAGATCTACTTAAGATCGACCTAAGATCTACTTAAGATCTACACAAGATCGACTTACTATCTACTTAAGATCGACTTAAGATCTACTTAAGATCTACTTAAGATCGACCTAAGATCTACTTAAGATCTACTTAAGATCTACATCACATCGACTTAAGATCTACTTACTATCGATTTCTTTAAAGAGATATGCTCCGGTGAATGTCATGATGAGAACTGATGCCGGCAAAGCATAATCGGCCAACCATTCACGTCGAGATCTAAAGGATTTGAATATTTGAATCGAAAAAGTCGAATTGACTGGAAGAATCAGTTATCAGATTCTAGTAAATTTACCTTGTCAAATAGGGTGTCTTTCGGAAGTTGTACAAAAAAAGTCCAAGCCATAGTGTGCCCAACATCAGAAAAACATAGCACATCGAGGTGTCCCGGCGACAGTCTCTCTGAAAGATTTTGATTTTAGCCACATTTAACGCAAAGATTCATCCTAAAGACTTGGGATTGGCGACGCCGAGAAACAGGATAGACAGCTAGATTGGTGACGAAAAGGGAAGCACCTTATACCAGAGCCCCATGCCAGATGGAGAGCGATTACGCGGACAAGGCCGAGAACGCATCGCCGGTCACTTACATAAGGATTTCTTACTTTGTAAATTGCACAAAGATATTCGGCTGTAAATTTCTAGCCAGGGGTTTTCGGGGTCGGTGAATCGATTGGCGATGTTTTTGAAATGGGCAAGTGTACGGAATTGCGGCAAAAGTGACGATAAAGACCAGGATTGTGGATATTTACCCAACTCTAGATGTAATACATGATTAAAAGAAGAAGAAGAAGAAGAAGAAGAAGAAGAAGAAGAAGAAGAAGAGAGAAGAAGAAGAAGAAGAAGAAGATCATTATCAAAGCATCTATAGTTAAATCTACATCATTTTAGGCAGTAAATCTATAGTTAGAAGGTCATTTATCAAAGCTTTTCCCACCATCGTCTCAACGGTTGTATTGTAGATAGTTGTGGTGAGATTTCGTTTGGGATCGTCGTCGTTTGCACACGCAAAGTAGTTCTTTTGAAAGCCTAAAGAGTTTTCAAATCGAAATGCTTGTTAGCAAAGATGATAAAGTAAAGATTTCTATAAATTTCTATAAGATTTCTATAAGATTTCTATATTTGCACTTACTTGCGTGTACAGCTCGAACACTCTCAACGATGAAAGCGATTGCCATGAATAAAGAGAACATTTCTTCAGCTGATCTACAAAAAAAGATATTCAATCAAGGGGTTCTTGCATTCAGAATTCAACTTAAAAAGATATTCATTCAAGAAATTCTTGATTAAAGATATTTTTGCTTACCTGGTGGCCAATTTCATTAAACTGCACAATTCGGTGGCCGAGTATAATATCAAGAACATTTGACAGAATAAACCGACACACGCGTACATCGCAAAGAAGTCATAGCCGAGCTCTTGTGAGATTTTGTATATCACTGGAAATAAGTTTTTCTTTTTCTTTTTTTTTGACTTTTCCCTTTCTAAAACCTACCAACTTTATTAGATACCATAATTTTATTTTTATTTTTTGTCTAGCTTATTGTCTACCTTTTGGCTATCTTTTGTCTAGCTTATTGTCTACCTTTTGTCTACCTTTTGTCTACCTTTTGTCTAGCTTATTGTCTACCTTTTGGCTATCTTTTGTCTACCTTTTGTCTAACTTATCCATCAACTTATCAAACCATCACAGATCACAGGAGTTTGGTTTGGAATTTGGAATTGATTGAATAAGATGCTTGGCCTTTCAAGTCAAGAAAGTTGATATGCTTGGCCTTTCAAGTCAAGAAAGTTGATCTGCTTGGCCTTTCAAGTCAAGAAAGTTGATCTGCTTGGCCTTTCAAGTCAAGAAAGTTGATATGCTTGGCCTTTCAAGTCAAGAAAGTTGATCTGCTTGGCCTTTCAAGTCAAGAAAGTTGAAATGCTTGGCTAAAAGAATCCTATTCGGCATCTCATAATGTTTGAATTTTGAAACAAACTCAAAAACTCGAGTAAAACTTGTAAACTTTTACTCGAAACTTGTAAAAATCAAGAAACTATTTCGCTATTTCTATGCTAAAGAATACCCAGTTCACAAAAATGCACAAACACATCAAATTGCTAGAAAGAAAGAAATTTTGGACGCTAGAAATGGTGCTTATAGCTTATAGGCTTAGCTTATAGGCTTAGCTTATAGGCTTAGCTTATAGTTTACCTTATAGCTTACCTTATAGCTTACCTTATAGTTTAGCTTCTGAAATCCCATTTCCCAATCCCACCTTTTATATAAATGGCTAGCGGGACGGTTGTGAGCAAAATGATCATTGGCTGACCGCCAAAAAATGCGAAGAAAAGGCCACCAATCGCTTGAGCAAAGATCACTTTTGGAACATCTAAATTGAATTTTTTTTAACAAATTTGTGACAATATGTGACCCACACGTGCTATTTTACGTTTTTATGAGTCAATTTAGCTGAAGTTAGTTAACATAGTTAAACCCTCAGTTTTCATCAGATCAACTCAATTTTTTATATCATTTTTGACTGCGCCTCATCAAATCATACTAAAGTTGAGTTAATCGAATTTATTAGGTTGTCCAGTTATGAATGCACGCCTGGTCTTGAACAACTTGAACAACTTGAACATTCCTTAGGGCTTTAAAATTTTATTAAACTCAATTTTCTATATGCTGTTCAGGATTTCTTATTTTATTACAACATTTCTTTTCTTTTTCTTATTTTATTACAACTTTTCGTGTTTTTGACGTCAATTGATTTAATTTTCATGTTTAGAGTTAATTTCTGTGAACGACACGAAGTTTGGCCTCCGTGCCAGTCTTTGGTATGACTTCAAATTGGGCAAAAAGATAGCTGAATCTCATCGTGGCCTTTGGAAAGTATTTTGGAAGATGCTATTTCGGAAAGCCAGTGTCGGCGATGGTTTCAACGATTTCGAGAAGGAAATGCATTTTTTTGGGAGATGAGGCCTCCTACGATCGAGAATGCAGTACTTAAACAGGCGATCGAAATTCATCCTCGACAAACTACACGTGAACTTGCAGAAATATTTCGAATAAGCCCTCAAAAACGCGCATTTATAACTGGACAACCTAATAGAATGATCGAAACTAACGAAACTAACGATTTTGACTACGCTACTTTACTCAAATAGATGCATTTTAGAAAACGCATTATTAACTGGTTAAAGTATGAAGAAAATCTTTTTAAAAAATCCTAAAAACTGACTAATTCCCCCGTTTGTATTGTCATCATTGAGTACGCCGAAGGCAATCGCCGGCAGGAGACACGCGAAATATAAAAAGACCACTGTGGAGATGATTTTCTAAATGAAATTCGAAAATAGTTAGCAGATACGAAATAAATGTATTTAATCTAATACTTACTTGAATCGTTTTATGCCCGTAAATCCCATCATAGAAGTCGCTTGCGTAGTAGTTGAGCCGCCGCTTGAACTCGCCCAATAAACCCCGAAATGGATACCACCGACCGGGACCAAACTGCACAATTTGTTATAGGCTTTTATTATCTATTTCTATTCATATTTCAATGACTACTCACAGCTCTATCAGCTATTTCTATTCATATTTCAATCAATACTTACAATATGTTCTTTGGCTTGACTCAAATGAATGCTGCTTTTTCTTTCCCTCCATTCATTCTGATCCATTGCCAATTCTTTCGCCGCTGCCAGCAGGGTCGCTCTAAAATTTGACATTTTTCTGTAAAAACCAGGGGAAAAGCCTCCAAAAGGCTCAAGCTTTCGCTTGTCGTCTTGGCGCGAAGCGCTCTTGTCTATCGCACCAAGCAAACACTCGCGCAAGGCAGGGTTCGACCCCCGTTACGTCACTCAATTTTAAATTTTTGATTTTTTCGATTGAAATAACACAATTATAATATATTTTAAGACTTTTAAACAAATTTCAGCTTTTCTTTAGCTCAATAGCTTTTTAGCTCAATAGCTTTACAGCCATAGCCTATGCCATAGCATTTTAGCTCAGCTTTTTTAGCTCAGCATTTTAGCTCAGCGCGCAGAGAAAAAAGCCCATATAGACAGGCAGACTGACGAACTGACAGACACTTCTCTTTTAAATAATAGATCTAGCATAGTTGCTGGGAAATAAGGGATTCTCTGTATTTTACCTAAACTGATCAACAGTTTGCGCCATGACGAGCCTCTGTCGGATATCCATATCGGCGAAAAGAGTCGCGAAAGTTCGCGTCGTTTCCAACGCGGTTTTTGTTCCTTTCTGTAAATTTGAATAACTTTTATAAATTTGTGTATTTCCTTTTCCAAACTTTCTCTTTTTTTAAAAGATTTGCATTCAAGGAGTTCGTTAGATGGGTTTTCTTTTCTATTCTCCCTTTACCCATTCCACCCCCTCACTTCAGAGTTAGAGAAGGATCTCCCTTTTGATAGGAGGACATTCCATTGAAGGGATCTCTCCACAACATCTTCAGGCAATGGATTTTTCTCTTCAAAGCTTTTTTGGGGACACAAATTGAGTTTGTTGAGGATTTGGGAAAGGAAAAGACGGGGGGAAAGGAAGAAGGGAAGGAAGAAGAAAGGGAAGGAGAAAGGGAAGGAGAAAGGGAAGAAGAAAGGGAAGAAGAAAAGGAAGAAGCCACGAAGCGACTCGATAAAAAGTGACCCGTCTTTTGGATGAATGGATTGATGAGAAGAGAAAAGTAGAGGAAAATGGGGGAAGAAACAATTTGGATCGAAAAGAATTTCGGAAGGAATGGTTGGTTGAGTACTAAATCTTTGACTTAAATTCATTTTCTAATTGAATAAGTCGCTACCAAATGAAATACGGGTTTTTAGTCCATTATTCACTAGATTAGATTTGTTATTAGATAAATAGCATTCATCATTAAATAGCTCAATCATTTCAATCTTACAAATCACTTTTGAAAGTTTTTGAAAAGCTTTTTCTTGAAGGAAAAGCTTCATTAGCAAGAAGGAGAGTGCTCAAAAACGACAAGGTTCGATGATTCGATTTGGACCGTTTCTTCTACTTAAAACTATTTTGATGGGAAAATCAAAAAAGATAGCGCCCAAAAAGTTAAGTCTATAGCCAAAATTTCAGAATAGTCCGTTTAGCGATTTTCTTTATGTGTTTCATTTTTCTCAAAAAGGCACTAGTGCTCAAAAAGGAATAAAATCAAATGATGCGATTTGAAATGTTTCTTTTTAGATGATCAAATCAAAATGATGATCAAATCAAAATGAGGATCAAATTGGTTCCATCAAAGGTGGAACCAATTTGAAAGACAAACGGCTAGATCAATTTTCTGATTCAAATTACAGAAAATTGTCGATCTTTCTCTTTGTATAACTCTGTCCGTTTGATAGTCCGAACCTATAGTTTGATTGAAATAGAAAATGTTTACTGTTAACTTCTCTATCTTTTTAAGTCAATTTGAGTCAATTCCAAAGCAAAATCGAGTGTCAAAACTTGTTTTTCATAAAATTCAATAAAAACTCAACAAAGAAATCGGATTATTCTGAAAATTTGCTTAACTTTTTATGCGCTATCCTTTTTCTATTGACATAAATATGGGTTTCTGTGGGCCAAAGTGTCTAAATCGAGTCTTCGGGTTGTCGTCTTTTCTTGACTACCGACTTCTCGCGCCCAATACTTTGTGTACTCGCGTGTGTACCAATACTCGCGCCCAACTCTGTCCGTTCGTTTCCACAAGCTCTGATATGTCAAAATTTCGATTCTACGCCCTAAAATTACCTAGAAAAACAACTTTTGGAATAGAAATTGGTTATTAGATATTAGCTTTTTAGAGCTTTTTTAAAACGCGAAAAAAGGTGCGCTAATGGGCAAGGTGCGGAAAAAAAGGTGCGCAAATGTCTGGGTGCGCAAATGTCCGGGTGCGCAAAAAAAAGGTGCGCAAATGTCCCACTCCCTAAAAATTCAAACAATTTCTCAGCATCGAATCTCCATTTAAGCTAAGATTGATTCAAGTATAAATTCAAGTATAAATCAAAAAGAATCAGAAATCTCCTACCGCTCTCGACGGGGCAATGACAATGATGATAAAGCGAAGATCTTGCATTGTTCTTCCAAGATTCGTTGGATGCGACAATCGAGCGATGGCCACATGCCGATGTTGAACTGTGTTCAACATGCATCTAAAATGATTTTCTTTTACTTTTGAACATTTTAAAGTAAAAAGATCTATTCCTATTGTTGTTTCTATGTTGTTGATCGATACAAAAAGTTCTATTCCTTCCAGGGATGTCCGGATCCGGATCTCTACGCAAGCATACAAAGGACAAATAGATGACTACGCGACAGTACGATGAACTATCTATTGGAGTGTCGCATAGTCGTCTCTTCGTTCTTTATATGTTTGTGTAGAGATCAGGATCCGGATGCGGACATCCCCGATTTCTTTCGATGGTTTTCTGTGCAATTTTTCCTCTTTAAACGCACTGATTTTTGCATAAAACGTCAAAATTTTTTCGAAAACGATAAATTTAGTTAAAGAAACTCGAGAAAAAGTGTTTTTTTTGAAGTTAAAAAGTACTTACAAGGCACAAATCCATGTTTGATCATAATCAAAAGATCCGCCCGTTGTGCCGGTTGTACAAATGCTTTGCACAGTTCTCGACAAAATGTGAACTAAAGAGATTTCTTTTTTTTCCTGATAACTAAACTGTCTTTTTTTTTCTCTATACCGTATTTTCTCTAATAGTAGTGCACCCTGCCGGCCGAGTTGATCACTATTTTACGGTTTCGAAGCTTTTGCAGAAGCTCAACACTCTAATCCCCCACTAGATCTCATCGTCAGCTACATTTTCCGATCCCACATCGATAGGTTCTGATAAGTAGCTTTCGAGATTTCGAGCAATTTAGGCAACGCTCAGGGTGCACTACTATTAGAGAAAATTCGGTAGATCACGGTAGAAGGTGAACAAGTTTTAGGAAACTCAATTACTGAAGGAGTACTGTAGTGTACTGTAGTCTAGCTATTGGTTAAAATTAAGTAAGCTAGCGATTATCTTATTCTCTCTCTGATCTCACACCCCGGCGAGCCGAGTTGATGACTATTTTACGGTTTCCAAGCGTTTGCAGAAGCTCAACACTCTAATGTCCCACTAGATCTCATCGTCAGCTACATTTCCTGACCCCACATCGATAGGTTCTGATAAGCGGTTCTCAAGATTTCGAGCAATTTAGGCAACGCTCAGGGTGCACTACTATTCCCTTTAACCCTTTAATTCCGTTACTAAATCAACTCATAAGGAATACCGTTGTCTCTCTAATAGTAGTGCACCCTGCCGAGCCGAGTTGATCACTATTTTACAGTTTCTAAGCTTTCACAAAAGCTCAACACTCTAATGTCCCACTAGATCTCATCGTCAGCTACATTTCCCGACCCCACATCGATAGGTTCTGATAAGCGGTTCTCAATATTTCGACAAATTTAGGCGACGCTCAGGGTGCACTACTATTAGAGAGAATACGATAATATCCCAAAATTTACATTGATTTCCGGCATCTTGTGTAAAGAGTACACTTCGTACTTGTTCCGACGTGAACTCCGGCTCTTGGATGTCCATCTCGTGAATGATTCTGTAAAAAAAGAAAATATTCTTTCAAATTCATCATCTTTATTTATCTTTTATTTGAATATTTGAATAAAAACGGATTCTCTTTTTTTTTTTTTGTGATTTCGATATTTTTATACAAATGAATTCCTCTTTTTTCGTTTATCTTTATCTCCAGATTTTCGGATTTTCTCCAAATTTTTTCCAAAACGTTTCACAAAATCCCCCACCCCCGCTCGTTTTTCCCGAGAAAAAGCTTGACTAAACAAAAGAAATCTATAAAAAAAACCCCTATAATCATGTATTTCTTTTATTGACATGTCTTGTTCGCGACGAAGAAAAGAAAAGAAAAAGGAAAAAGCGATTTATGACCCTTCCTTTTTTTCCCCCCTCAATTTAGCTGGTCTGAGGAAAAATAAAGAAATAAAGAGAGAAGAATCGACATTATGAATAGCTTATTCCTTTGGAGTCCTTTTATTTTCTTGACTGACAAACATTTGTTGACTTATTGACGTGGGTTGCGGTGAGGAAAGGGGACTTTTGAACGTAGTCTGACTTAATTTAGACTTCTGACTTAATTTAGACTTTAGTACTCTTCTCACAGCTCACACAGATAGTGAATCGTGATTAAATCGAAAATAAATAAATTCACCATTTTCTACTCATATTCAATTTTCAGTTAAAGTTTACGTTTTACTTTTCAAAAGGAAATTCCTTTTCAGGTTCCGTTCAAAAAGAAATTCATCCAATTTCAATGTGCCCCCTTCTTTCTCCATTCCTCACATCAATTTCCTCAAACCACAAATGATCGTGAAATGATCGTCAAATGAATTTATCCTACGAAAAACAAGAAAAAAAAGGATTAGTCTTTACTTAAACTTTACTTAAACTTTACTTAAACTTTACTTAAGCTTTACTTAAACTTTACTTAAGCTTTACTTAAGCTTTACTTAAACTTTACTTAAACTTTACTTAAACTTTACTTAAACTTTACTTAAGCTTTACTTAAACTTTACTCAAACTTTACTTAAACTTTACTTAAACTTTACTTAAACTTTACTTAAACTTTACTTAAACTTTACTTAAACTTTACATAAACTTTACTTAAACTTTACTTAAACTTTACTTAAGCTTTACTTAAACTTTACTTAAACTTTACTTAAACTTTACTTAAACTTTACTTAAACTTTACTTAAACTTTACATAAACTTTACTTAAACTTTACTTAAACTTTACATAAACTTACTAACTTTACTTAAACTTACTTAAGCTACTTAAACTTTACTTAAGCTTACTTAGGCTTACTTAAACTTTACTTAAACTTTACTTAAGCTTTACTTAAACTTTACTTAAGCTTTACTTAAGCTTTACTTAAGCTTTACTTAAGCTTTACTTAAACTTTACTTAAACTTTACTTAAGCTTTACTTAAACTTTACTTAAGCTTTACTTAAGCTTTACTTAAGCTTTACTTAAGCTTTACTTAAAAGTCTTAAAAGTCTTAAAAGTCTTAACAAACGAAACCTGAAAAGGAATTTCCTTTAAAAAGTGCCGTGAGCCTTTTGAGTGAAAAGAAAAAAGACGGTGATGAATGTTCTTCTTCTTTCAATTCTCATTTTGAACACAAACATTTCTTTCTTTTACTTGAAAAGACTCAGGAAAACAACAATTACTGGAAAGTTGATAAGTTTTTATTTGATAAACTTTCATTTCTGACACAAGAAGCCTTCAATAAGGCCGCTCAATGGCCTCCAATGGCCGCTCAATGAAATCTCAAAATGTTCCTTGAAATTTTTGATAAATCAAAGAAGTTTACTTTGCGAAAATCTCCTCGAGACTCGTTTCTTGAAGATCCAAAAGAAGTACAGCTTTGTTCAGCAAATGATCAATATCCATGGTTGCTCGAATCTCCGAACCAAAATCTTTCATCGGGATTTTCTCGTGTTTTGCGTACATCAGCGTCACATTGTCGTATTCGTCTGAAAATTTTCCGTTTATAATTTATAATTTATTCAATTATTCAAATAGTTTTTGGCTTTTAAATAGACTTCTTTTATCATTCTTGTTGTTTTTTATTTATTTTTATTTAAGAATTGATGAAACAGTTTAAAAAACGCAAAAACGTATCCATTTTTGTGTATTTGTGTGTATCTTTATCGTATTTTCTTGCTTTTAACGTTTACTTCTATTAATAGAAGTCGATTAACGTTTACTTTAATCAATAGAAGTCTATTAAGGTTTACTTTAATTAATAGAAGTCTATTAACGTTTACTTTAATCAATAGAAGTCTATTAACGTTTACTTCTATTAATAGAAGTCTATTAACGTTTACTTTAATTAATAGAAGTCTATTAACGTTTACTTCTATTAAAGTTTACTTCTATTAACATTTACTTCTATTAACGTTTACTTCTATTAACGTTTACTTCTATTAACGTTTACTTCTATTAACGTTTACTTCTATTAACGTTTACTTCTATTAACGTTTACTTCTATTAAAGTTTACTTCTATTAACATTTACTTCTATTAATGTTTACTTCTATTTACTTCTATTTACTTCTATTTACTTCGTTTAACATTTACTTCTATTAACATTTACTTCTATTAACATTTACTTCTATTAACGTTTACTTCTATTAACGTTTACTTCTATTAACGTTTACTTCTATTAACATTTACTTCTATTAATGTTTACTTCTATTTACTTCTATTTACTTCTATTTACTTCGTTTAACATTTACTTCTATTAACATTTACTTCTATTAACGTTTACTTCTATTAATGTTTACTTCTATTACTGTTTACTTCGTTTAACATTTACTTCTATTTACTTCTATTTACTTCGTTTAACGTTTACTTCTATTACTCTCTTAGATGAGAAAAATGAATCGAAAGTATCAAGAACATGCACTTGACACCTTTAATAAAACAAAAAAAAAACCAGCATGCTATGATGTGATTGTTTTGAAATTTTGAAATAAACACATCTAAAACCATTTTCTTTGAATAGTCAAAAGGACATTTGTTAAAGCACAAAGCACAACTGGGATACGAACAGATTTCACTTGCAAGTGTTAGCTCTTAACACAAACACGACAGCTTTTTATAAAAGCTAACAAAGGGATTAAAGCTTTCAAGTTTGTCTGGATATATTTGTTATTAAAGCTTTCAAGTTTGTCTAGATATATTTGTTCTTAAAGCTTTCAAGTTTGTCTGGATATATTCGTTATTAAGGCTTTTAAGCTTCCCTAGACATATTCGCTATTAAACCTTTTAAGTTTACCTTTTTTTATTCTATTCTTCTAGTCCTTCCAGTCACCTTTTTATTGGACTTTTTGTTTCAAATTGAATTTCGAAAGAAAAGAAGCAAAAAACAGATTGAAAAGAAGGGAAATTTCTGTGAAAATTTGCTGATTTTTCATTCTCAATTCGCACTCACTTTGTCCCTTTTTTGAAGAGAGATCCCAAATGGCTAAGAAAGGAAGAAAAAATGGGAAACTCTGGAAGAAAATGAAAAGAGAAGCCCCGGAAACCTTTTTTTTTCTGAGAGAAAATGAAGGGAATGGGTAAAGGGAATGGGCACACTAACAACTGAAATGGGATCTCCCCCCACTTTCAATAGAAGGGAAAGGATGGGGACGAGTTTTCACCCTCAAACTCCATTCAGGAAGTTTCGAATCGATAACATTATGATAATGTTAGATAAATGGACAATATTTACGTTTATAAAGAGCTTTTATAAAAAGTTGAAGCCTTTGGATTGATCTTGTCAGTCAAGAGAAGTTCTAGACTCTCAGTCAAGTCAAGAGTCAAGACAAGTTCTAGACTCTGAGTCAAGTCAAGAGAGTCAGTCAAGAGAAGTTCTAGACTTGAAAGCCTTTGAACTTAAAAGCTTGCTAGCTAGACATTGAGCTGCTAGACTTGTTTGAATGCTCAATTTAGCTATCTAAATCGTTTGTCCTAAAAACGAACACCTTTTCCAAGTTTTGTTCTAAAAGGAAAGAAAAATGAATATTCAAATTTGACGGGAATTCAATTTTTGTCTCTTTCTCTCGTTTAGAGCACTCGCTATTTCTTTTTAAGGGATTTTCTGCAAAATTTTCAACTTGAAACTTGCTCTTAGCTTGAAAATTCTTTAAAAAAAAGAGTTTTCTAAAAATTGTTTGTTTTTGATTAGCTTTGACTGACTCAGCTTTGACTTAGCTTTGACTCCAGCCTTGACTCAGCTTTGTCTCAGCTTTGACTCAGCTTTGAATCAGCTTTAACTCAGCTTTGACTTAACTTTGAATCAGCTTTGTCTCAGCTTTGACTCAGCTTTGTCTCAGCTTTGACTCAGCTTTGAATCAGCTTTGTCTCAGCTTTGTCTCAGCTTTGTCTCAGCTTTGTCTCAGCTTTGTCTCTGCTTTGACTCAGCTTTGACTCAGCTTTGACTCAGCTTTGTCTCAGCTTTGACTCAGCTTTGTCTCAGCTTTGACTATAATCAACTCTTCGTTATTTTGCAGAATTCAAAAAAGTGAGCACTCACCCTGCAGAAGAGTCATCTATCATCGAAGGAAAAGAAGTAAAAGAGGAAAATTGACAATTTGAAATAGATTAAAAATAAAGAAATAAATCGAGTATTCACTATCGTTTATTTAGAAGATTTAGAAGATTTAGAAGATTTGTTTCGAAAAAGGAAACGTTTTTTGAAGTTCACTTTCATGGAATGAGTAAAAAAGGACTCAAATATCTCACCTTAACATTCATTTCTCACACGAAATTGCCCATGGATAATGAGAAAGACGGGCATCCACTTATCATCTTTTTGATGAATAAAAAAAAGAAAAAAAAGAAATCGAATTAGAGCCCGGAAAAGTTTGAATACAAAAAAAACTTACCAGCAAAATTCCATGATAAAGTATCCAATGGTGGAGTATCAGATTCCATATCCACTTCATCGTTTAATTGAGCAACAGATCCATATTGACTACCAGATCGAGAATCATAACGATTTGTTACGGGTGAACCTTGTCCACTTGATCTTCTTGTTGTTTTCCCTTTTATTGTCAACAATGGTTCGACTTGATCTTGTAGACTTTTCATCGATAACCATGAAACTCTTTTATTTAACATTTTAATCTTATTCTCAGCCATTGTTTCTTCTTGAGAATCACCACGGAATACGTGTTTACACTGTGAAAAAGTCGAGACAGTGTCAGATTGTGGAGTGGATTCGGAGCAAAGATTGAACTCGACTTGTCGCGAGGTTCTCCGTGGACCGATTTGACTGGTGCCTGGAGATCCGTGGCCACTCGCGGGTTTCGATGTGGAGACTTTCGATGCAGGGCCAACCAGAGTGGGTGCAGTGGGCCCAACTTGAAGAGTCGGCTGTGAGGAGCGTCTCTCGAAGGCTCTCATCGGACGGAAACCGATCGCCGGGGCCCCCGTTTGCACGGATTTCCTTCGACTCCCCACTGGACTCATTTGCAGACTCTTTTCAGCATCTAGAGAATTTGATGGTAAAAGCTCTTCAGCTTCTGACACCTCAGCGGGACAACTTGAGACTGAAGCGCCTGATGTGGTAGAAACTCGGCGACTCCCGTCCGGTACATAAAGTAATGTGTGCGAGATTCGGCGATTAAGAGTTCTCAGTTTTGGATCCGGTTTCTTCACATAGTGATTCGTTTCTCCATTTGGAGTGTTTCCGGATAGGGATCGGGAATGGATTTGTGATGTGCTTGGATGAGATTCTTGAGCAGTGATCGAATCTGTAGCCGTGACCACCACTCGAACCTGTCCCTCCATCGAATAAAGGAATTGATGGAAGGGAATGGCCTTCAGGTGGATCTCAATTTAGCCCACATTTATGAGAGTCGATAGGCGAATGGAGAAAGAGAAAAATGGAGAGGAAGGAGAAGAGTTCTCTTCGATCGACAAGAGTTGGCAGGAGGGATAGGGCCTTCATGGCCCCTCCATTCAGAGGTCCCTTTCCCATCTCTAGGACCCGCCCCATCTCCTCCTCTCTCTCTTCTATTAGGAAAGAAGAAGAAGAAGAAGAAGAAGAAGAAGAAGAAGAAGAAGAGGAAGAAGAAGAAGAAGACTAAAGACTTTATTTTTTTTTTTGCCTTAAATCCACATCGAATCTTTTCTCTTTTGTGGATTTTAAGGGAGTCAATCCTTTCAGAATCGGGGCACATCTTTATGGGGGTATCCAAGGATTTAAGGGGAATAAGAAGAGCAGATAGATCCCTCTCAGCCTCTTCCTAATTGAATAAGCAATGCCTTTGGAAAGGTTTTAAAGATATTCAACCTCAAAAAAGGCATCGGGAGTCCAAAAAAAAAAACACTAAAAAGTTTGATCTTGATACAACTTTTCTGTTGAAAGTCAACGAAACACTTTTTTACACTAATTTCTATAAGAAAAGTCTCTTTGCTATAAGAAAAGTCTCTTTTTGTACTCTTTTTTCTATAAGAAAAGTCTTTTTGTACTCTTTTTTCTATAAGAAAAGTCTTTTTGCAGTCTTTTTCTATAAGAAAAGTCTTTTTGCAGTCTTTTTCTATAAGAAAAGTCTCTTTTTATACTCTTTTTCTATACGAAAAGTCTTTTTGTACTCTTTTTTCTATAAGAAAAGTCAATTGATCACATCATATATGAATGAGTGAATAAAAAGAAAAAAAAAAGAACGAAAGAGTTATGACAAATAATACATCTCAAAATAGCTTCCCCTTCTCATTCTATTATGTCATTTCCTCGGATCATCTTTAAATGTAATCAAAAATTAAAACACTTAGTTGAAAGTTGATTTTTTGAGATTAGATTTCCTTGGATCGTCTCTAAATGTCATCAAAAATTAAAGCGCTTAGATGAAAGTTGAAGTTTCGGTTTTTAATTCGTAATTTCTAAACTTTTCTCTCGATTAACTACCGTAAAATTGTCTTTTTTGTTGAATCTATGGGAGCGGGACAAATGCGACCTTTCTTTGCGCACCTGGACATTTGCGCACCTTTTTTTTGCTGGAAAAGGCCTTAGAAAAAGTCGTAGAGCTTCAAAAACGTTTCCATAGAAGGGAATCGTATGCGTAGATTCCGAATTTCGACAAATCACACCTCGCTGACACGTCAAATTTGGGCTAAAATGCAAAAACTACGCAACTTAACGCTTTTCCGCAGCTTTTGCCAAATTTGACGTGTCAGCGAGGTGTGATTTGTCGAAATTCGGAATCTACGCATACGATACCCTTCTATGAAAACGTTTTTGAAGCTCTACGACCCGACCTTTCCTAAGGCCTTTTCCAGCAAAAAAAAGGTGCGCAAATGTCCGGGTGCGCAAAGAAAAAGGTCGCATTTGTCCCAATCCCGTGTTTTTTTTTTTTAAATTCTCTGAGAATTCAAAAAAGAATTTAAAATATAAAAAGTAAATAGATTAGCTAAAAAACTAGCCAAGATTACGGTATTTTCAAGTTTCCACGTTTTAGAAAAAACAAAACATTGATCATTAGACTGAGAGTAAACTTGAAAGTCGCACAAAACATCGCACAACAACAAGCAGCATTCATGCAATTCATGCAATTCATACAAAAAAACTTCAAAACAACACCAGTAAATAGATTAGCTAAAAACTAGCCAAGATTACGGGATTTTCTACAAGTTATCTACAAGAACAAATTCTCATTCGATAATGCATTCCATCTCACTCACCATTTTGATCGTCATCGAATTCGTGAATCGAATCATCATCCAAAACATAAACGTTACTCGGTCGTCTTTCGTCTCCATGCTGTACCGGCAATAGTCCTTGACTTTCCAATGAATGAATAGTTGCCGATGTGAATGAGGTATTCATTTCACTTGCACTTTTCGGTCTTCGAAAGTGTGCTTTCCTTGCCATCGGTGTCCCTGCACCACTAGCCACCGTTGCTTCGCTGCCATTCGAGTTGCTTGCTTCGGAATCGTGTCTTTGTCTTTTCCCGACACCATTCAATTTGGGCACTGGCTTCACAGTGAAAACCCTTGTCCGAATCGGATTCTTTTCCTTTTTCTCATCTCTTTCCAATGAGCTTTCGGATGCGGTTTCGGTGGCAGCAAAACTTGTCTCACTCGCGAATTTGCGCAATTTACGATCAATAATCGATTTCGCGCAATTTCTCGTTGTTCCAGCTGGACCACTTGGTGGATCGGGTAAAGGAACGATTGGAACAGATGATCGTTCGGCTGAAGACATCAGAGGGAGTTGATCGGCTGAATGCGATGAAGGAAATGAAGGAAATGAAGGAAATGATCGACAAATCGATTCAACGGATTATCGACACATCTGCAAGATATTCGAATGAGCACAAAAAAAAATAAATCAAATAACGAAAAATTTAAAGAGAGAAGAGTCTAATGGAATGGTTTTGAAATTTGAGAAGAAGTTTTCAGGGAAGGAGGTGTTTGATGGATTTGAATGTGAAAAAGAAAGAAATGAGAGGAAAAGTTGAAGAGGAAGAAGAAGAAGAGGAAGAGGAAGAAGAGGGAAGAGGAAGAAGAAGAAGAAGAGGAAGAAGAAGAAGAAGAAGAAGAAGAGGAAGAAGAAGAAGAAGAAGAAGAGGAAGAGGAAGAAGAAGAAGAAGAAGGAGGGGAGGAGTGCGTGGGTGTGAATTAAAATACATCTATTCACATGAATACACAATAAAAAAGCAAAATCCTAAGCCTTAAAGAAGAAAGAGAAGAAAAAAAAATGGTCAAAAATCAACTAGGCGGGATTGAACCCTTCGACCTCTCGATACACAGGCTCAACTGAGAAACAGGTCTTTTAGCCATAGTGACAGTGAATCGGCCATAGTGACAATAGTGGCCATAATGGCCATAGTGATAATAAAGCTGTAAAAAAATGGGGAACAAATGTTGGGGAAAGTTTTGAAATAAAAATTAGAAGAGCTTACCGTAAATACTGTAATAGTACCCCAGCCCCATAATGACGGTGCGGAGTGTTGCGTAGTCTAGCTTTGAACGAGTTTTTCTCGACACTGGTTTATGCTACAATGCGCGCTTTGGTATCAAAAAATAGCTGAAATTCAGGGCTATTTTTTGATATCAAAGACGCATTTTTTGAAAGTACGGGTGCTTTGCAAAAAATGAAATACTAAAAAACTTTTGCGACTACGCGACTGTACGAGGGCGGTGGGGGTACTATTACAGTATTTACGGTAAGTATTATAATTTGAGTGATCTCAACTCAAGTTTAGCTGTATGAAATGGGTTTTTTTTTGTTTTCTTGAGTAGATTCGCCTTCTTCTCAACCCAGGCAGACATTAAACATACCGAGCAATGAACGAAAGAAAAATCGAGAAATGAAAGGTCTCCAAAAGCACATGTTCTAGCACAAATATTTGGTAATATTTGTTTGAAACTTTATAAAAACTATATAGATTATTGCGATCAAATATTTTTTTTTTATTTAAAGGATAAAAGAGGAAACTCAAAACTCAACTTTAACAAAAACTGTACATTTAAAGATGTATCAAAGAAGGAAAAGGGTTTCCTTTTAAACGGTTTTCTTTTAAACGGTTTCCATTTAAACTCTTTCCTTGTTTCTCTATAGGCAGAAATGGAGGCTTTTGGTGACTTTTTGGGGAAATATACACTACTGGACAATGAAATATGATATTTGAAAAACGATCGTCTCTTTCGCGCGTCTGTAACTCCCTTGTCTTTGCCGTATTTCTAAATCTTAATATTACCATTGTGTAGCCATTGAAAAGAGCTTTCAGAAAATGTATAACACTAATAGTTTTAAACTTAAAGACAAGGGAGTTACAGACACGCGAAAGTGACGATCGTTTTTTCAAATATCATACTTCATTGTCCAGTACTGTATCCACCGTGGCCAAATGGTAAGCGCAATCGAGTTTATCACATGCTTTTTGAGAGAGAGATTTCTTGATCGGATCACTCCTGGAATCCGGTTTTAAGCACGTTTTTCTTTTGCTTCACAAACATTTCAAACACTCAAATCCATCGGATTGAGTTCGGGGAAAAGTGCTAAAACCATTTGAGCCTTGTCACCAATCGTTTTGCATAAGCATCGTTTTGCATAAAACACCAAATCATGTTGCAAAAGTGATTTTCAGCTTACGGAAGAGGAAGATCTTTCTTAAGTGAATCGTATTTATTCTAATAGAAGGCTAAGGTCTTCTATTTTTCAATCTCCTCAAAATTGGCGGACCGAAAAAATAGGTAACGGTGCCCCATATGAAAGGAAATTGTTTTGAATTGTTTAAAACTAAAACTTTAAAACTTTCCTCTAATAGTAGTGCACCCTGCCGGCCGAGTTGATGACTATTTTACGGTTTCCAAGCGTTTGCAGAAGCTCAACACTCTAATCCCCCACTAGATCTCATCGTCAGCTACATTTCCCGACCCCACATCGATAGGTTTTGATAAGCAGCTCTCGAGATTTCGAGCAATTTAGGCAACGCTCACGGTGCACTACTATTAGAGAAAATTCGGTAGATCACGGTAGAAGGTGAACAAGTTTTAGGAAACTCAATTACTGAAGGAGTACTGTAGTGTACTGTAGTCTAGCTATTGGTTAAAATTAAGTAAGCTATCGATTATCTTATTCTCTCTCTGATCTCACACCCCGGCGAGCCGAGTTGATGACTATTTTACGGTTTCTAAGTTTTCGTATTTCCTGAGTTATTGTTTTAAAAAATATTTCGATTCACAAACGATGAAAACCCTTTAATTCCGTTTTTTCCCCATCATTCTGCTGAGTGAATAAATCGAGGAATCCCCAAAACACAGATCTTTTTCTATTCTTTTTC